TCATTTGTTTTAATTCCCTTTTACGTTTTCATCGTACTTTATGTACTCTGGATTTTCTTGTTTTCCACTTTTAAGCTCTTTGTCTTTAATTTTCCATTTGATATTCTTTCTGCTTTATCTAAAGCACACTGAATTGCCTCTGTGTATGAAATGTGCTGTATAAATAAACCTGCCCTGTCTTGCCTTGTTTATAAGAAGTTCTCTGCATGTACAGAAGCGCCTTAAAGTTTGTGAACCCTTTAGAATTTTCTATATTTCTGCATAAATGTGAATAAAACTTCATCAGATTTTCACACAAGATGACACACTTTTACCAACATGTGTTGTGAAGATCAGACTGTCATAGATCCCTATTTTTTAAATCAAATAGAGTGGTCACTCATACCCAATTACCATCGCAATTTTTCACCTTTAAATTATCTGCTAATCCGAAAAGGTTCACATACTTTTGCAACTCACAGATATGTAACATTGGATCATTTTCTTCAATGAATAAATGACCAAGTCTAATATTTTTCTCATTTCTTTAATTTGGTTCTCTTTATCTTGTGTGAAAATCCAAATGTTTTAGGTCAAATTTATGAAGAAATATCGAAAATTCTAAAGGGTTGACAAACTTTCAGACACCACTGTAAGTTGAAGATGTATATTGATAGTATGAAGCCTTGTCTGACTCCTTTGCCAGTGTGGAACCACTCCTTTTACACTTTACACAAAATGTATATTGTATATTTCTTATGAAGAGACTAATCTGCAAAAAACAACAGTAAAAAGACACAATCACAAAGGACACTGAAAAAAGAATCAATACCTTTATTGCCAATTTCCTAATTAAAAAAAAAATAAATCAAAGCTCAAAAATATAAACATGTAACCTCCAGCAGGTGAACGACTGCAGGTTCTTTGAGGATATTTCATCTGTAAAACAGTATCTAGGACTAAACATGAACAGTCTACACAAAAACGGCTGTGTTTGCATTGTACAGTATATTTTCGATGTGCATAGTCAGAAATTGGCAATGCTGCTCTGCATCACTCTGGTCCAACAGAACGATCCTGGAAAACAGCGCTCTTCTGCAGAGCAGTCTGAAACCAGGTGTTCCAGTTGCACCACATTACAGCCCCCAGCTCATCATAGATCCTCCACAAAACAGGCAAAATCATTCAATCAGATCTGACCAGGAACACGTCGAGCCTCCTCACATTATTTGTGTAATACATTACAATCAGTAAACGCAGTACTGTCATCTGTCACCTGACCAAATTAGAGCTACGATGGACTTGACAATAACCAGCGTCTCACAGCTGCTACACTGTTCACACACTCATCTGCGTACCTTTTGTCCATCTGCAGGAATAAAAATTACATCAAGATCTCAAACATCCCAGTTCCAGGGAGGGGAAAAAATGCAGAACTGCGCCCTCTGCTGGATGCATCTGGAATTCTCCACAGGGAAACTGTTCATGATGGATTAAAATATGTGCACATATTAAAGCACAGCAGCTACAAACACACTATAGTTTTGGGGAAACGTTCATTTTACTGTCAGTTAATCATTTTTCACAGTGGTGTCAGATATGAGTGATTCAGGGTTCGATATAGCACATTACACTATACAGCACTGATTATTGGCCTACGTGTTGAATGCAAACAGCAGGGGGCGCTATCCTTATACCATCCTTTGTGAGAAAATGACAGAAACAGACAGAAGAGGCAGAGTCGTCGTGTAGCTTTGTGTGCACGCATAGTTAAAATCAAGTATCCTGCAGCCGGTACTGTTACTATAATCATCGGCTGGAGATCAATAATCAGTTTGTCATTAAATGCATGAGGGTAAAGAATAAACATATACTGCACAATCTGGAAATATACATCAAAACGTCTAAAGGAAATCAGGGAAAAAAGGGAATACAACTTTGCATGTAGAAAAAGGAGTAGAAAGGCTAAAACAGGGCACAACATCGGCTTAAAATCAATAATGGAACTTTTAAAGGGCCCATATACACATTTTTTTGTACTTGTATATTTTTCCCCTGAGATTCATTTGTGATGTTTGTGTACCAAAACAGTAACCAAAACAGTCATAATTTGTCCCATCTCTCCTCACAGAATTCATCAGGCTGTCTCTGTTACTGTGTCTTTAAGAATGGCATATGTAAATGAGCCCTGTTCTGACTAAATTGCTGCAGACTGAATAGGCAGATATAAGCAAATGTGTTTTTTTTTTTTTGTGTGACATCACAAAAACAATGAAGTGAACGCAGTATAGACTATATGGATGTATGGGCAACATTTACATACTACATCAAATGTTTAAAACAGGTAAATAAGGAAAATTCGGCTCTGTATATGGGCCCTTTAAAGCAAACACGTAACTTCTGTGCTTCTCCTCAGATTACAAGTATTCTGCACTTCCGACAAAGTCACAGTCGCTTTAAAACTGCAGCAGTGCAGCAGGAGGCAAAACATTTGGTTTGGTAATTTTTTTTTTAATTAATAAAAGCTTCTCTGACCAGCAGAAACCTCAACAAAACTCACCTCATTTAGACCAAACAGATTGGATGCACGCTCTGGAGCTTTAGTAAGAAATGGGTGGTAACACTTTACTTGAAGGCTACCTACATGAGGGACTTCATGACACATGCATAAGCACTGAATAACGCATTTTAAAAGCGACAAAGTACAATCTACTAATGGGGTTCCTCAGGGCTCTATCCTTGGGCCAGTGCATTTCTATATCATCTATTAAAAGTGCAGTAAGCGATGTTAATCCAGTAAACTTTTTGTCAAATATCCCCTCACAGTCCGCTAGCTCTCCGTTCTACACCTTAAACTGACCTTAAACTAAAGCAATGGACATTTATTTAATTCATAACACTGTTAAAGCATCAGTCACAGCATGTATAAGGCCCTCTGCAATTACGACTATCATACATCAAGTTTAAACATTCTTCCAGCAGAAATATACAGAACTGATATACCATGTAGGTCTTAACTGGGCCTCTGCCTTATAAGCTGCATTGATAATAATGGTTTATAACAGTGTTATAAATTAAACAAACATCTGACTAGGTTTAAGGGATCTTATGTCAACACTATATAATTTACTTTATTAAACATATTGTCAGATTGTGAATAATGCCATAAGCTGGTCGCTTTTTAAATATGCTATGCTTATGTTAATGCTTATGTATGTGTTATGAAGTGTGTTATGAAGTGTTACACTGATCCTCATTACACTGCAAAAAATGACTCTTCCATTTAATATCACCAACATATCTAATATTTATCATTCTGAGATTTTTTATAAGATTATTATAAGATTACTTAACTTACTCCTATACTTTTTTGCTTGTTCCAAGCAGTTCAAAGTGACTCATTCCATTAACAGACAAGTTTTCTTGTTTCAAATATTCCTCTATTTCTATCTGCCAAGGTTAAATAATCTTATAAACAATCTCATAACGTGAAATATTAGATATACTGACTAGAATAAAGATGTTTTCCTTTGCTCAAATATCACTTTTTTGCAGCATATCAGTGGGTCTGCACTGAGAATCTTAGTCCGGTAACAGGGTTTTGAGCATTAAGTGCTTCATTGCTGAGCATCAAATCTTAAATCATAGAATTTATGTACTGATAAAGTGAGGTTAGATGACAGTAAGACCCTTTAACAGCTCCGCCAATCAATAACAAAAACATCTGAGCCAACAGTGTTTCAGAACTTTGGTAAACGCCTGAACGCTTAGACGGTGGATTATCAATACTGCCTCCGATTAGTCTGTTAAAAACAGCTTCCTCCAAAAGAGACGGATAGAAAAAGAAAAGCAGGAGTGATGAAAAAAATTACACTGAGCTGGGTGTTTTTTTGGGGGGCGGATATCTATACCTGATAAAGAAGAATCAAAGCAGTCCATAACTGGAAGTTAAATATAACTTCTGAATGGTAAATAATTACACTTTTAAAAACGACGGTTCTTTGAAGGTTCTTTAGTAAAGAAAATGAACACTCAAAGAACCCTTTGCATGAGTAAATGCTTCTCTCTATGGTGAAATGGTTCTACAGATTGATGGGGAATGTGCTGTACATGGTTCTATATAAGACATTTTTGAAAAGGGTTCTAGATAGCACCCAAAAGGGTTCTTCTATTGTGGCGATGTCAAGCTTGGAAGAGGATGTGGCGAGCTGCGAGAGGACGCGTACCGTTCTGACTGATCTCAAAAAACAGCCATTCTGTGAAAGTAGGGCTGGGCAATATGACAATATTTAAGCAATAGAACATGAGAGGGAGTGTGTTATTGTGAAATAACACCACGTGACGTTATTTCCAATAACACACAACCTCGAATGTTCTATTGCTTTAATACAACAGTTAAACAAAAAAATTAAGAAATAAATAAATTGGGCGGTGAACGTGGCATTTAATATGTTTTAATGTTAGCAATTCCTTCCACCAAATTATAGTTCCTTAACAAGCACCTCGTGTCTACCTCAGAGTAATGAGCTCCGCTCACTTGCTGCACAGCAGTTCGTTCTCCAGCTCCATACAGACCAACTGACAGTCTGGGAATTTAGTGTAGTCTCATCTTCAGAGTCTGACCAAATCAGCTGTAGGTCAAATGTGATCTTAAAAGTATCCATCAAGCAAAAACGTTCAAATGGCTTGAGCGTCTCCTACAGCTGTCAAAGTCGTTGCTTAGCAACAGCGTCTCAGCGGAGTGATACAGTGTTTGTGAAAAACCTGTGATGTTATGGTGAAATAACAGCACGGTTAGAACGCTTCTCAATCAATCAGCTTGCGCAACTGTTGTATAATTATCGTTATCGTGACCAATTATGTCACAATACAATACAGTATGCTTTTCTGTAGTTATGGTGTATATCGTCAGTACTTGTAGACACTGACCTACTGCATGTTTTCTTATAAAGAGATTATTTTTAAAAATTGTCCCTTCGACTGGATTTAGTGCCAAATACTGAATTGTTTTTGTTTAATAATTTTTTTTATTTTTTATTTTTTTTTAAATGTAGCACTACTGGGTGTTTTTCCTCAGTTCTAACCGAACAGATGTCAAATAAAAATCATGACATATCAAGTATTGTGAACATTTCTTGAAGCATTGCAATATTATATTTTAGCCATATCGCCCACCTCTAATGGAAAGTAATTCAAATAAATTTGCAGGCTGATCTCTGCTACACATTATAGTCGCCTGTTGTTCTGCACATTTTAAACCTGAGAGCTTAACCTGACATGGCTTTTAATTAAGCGTGTACTGACTTCAGTACTGAAAAACTGTGAAAGTGATCGTACATGAACGTAAAACCGTATATCAATATGTCCATCACTCTTCACAGCGTCTCTCGTTTACTGTCTATTTCTGTGGAAATCACTGTCAAAGATCAAAAACAGGCAGCCTATCAGAGTGCAGTGGGCAGGGCTTATGCATCTGGGTGCATCCTCTCTGTTTCTGTATCATTTACAGCTCAGTTTCTCTGACTTTCTCTCAGACTGAAGGACATACTATAAATTTTGTATTTTTCTGAGCCGAAACAGTCAGTGCGGGATAGAATTAGAGCTCTGTAGAATCAGGAATGTATTATCAAAAAAATGTCAATCATCTAATAAAATTTAATCGCTGTAGAGCCACAGTGAACCTGAAAATATCATTACATCCTTATTTTTAATGTTTCTAGCCCAGGAAAGCTGCAGAACAGATCACACCCATCACGTTCCTGGGTTTCTATATGAGGTGGCAAAATTATGCAGGTTTCAGTTCTACTGTAAGATCTCTAACTGTCTCTTTCAGCTTTAGTGTATTTAAAAGGCGTTGAGGGTGATATGTGTTCTACATAGCCTGCAGTATGAAAACGTCTAGCACCCATGTTTCTCACCAATTCATTTGGAAAAATACTATTATGCATTATAAATCACTGCATAATAATTTAAACATGTCCAACCTTGTGGTTGGGAATATGATCCCTAAAGAAAAAGCTTTTGTTGTTTGCTAATCTTAATAAAGGTATCAGTAAGCATTTACATATACTGAATAGAGTCTGACCGATATCAGCTGCCCAATAATATCAACTGATACTGGGAAAAATGTGGTTTTATCGTTATCAGCAAAAAAGTCTACTAAAAAGTCTACTTAAAAAGTCTGCTAATTTGCTGATAATTAACAACGTTTCCAGTGAACATCATGGTTAAAATGACAAAAGCATAAAAAAGGCATCCAAACCTCACCTTTAGCCCCAGAATGATAACACAATAACACCTTCTCTGTAAAGCTAACTAATGGAAAAGTAAGAAAAATAAAAGGCAATTAACAAAGAATTCTTTGCTGAATATTACTTCAAAGTGTAACGTCCACCTGACGTTAAACTAACACTGTTCTCGCATGTGAAGAAAAAGACAGCAATTATTGGAGATGGTCCCTAAACGTTTATGGCCACGGAGAAAGTCAGCGTTACAAACTGAACTTTTAAAACAACCAACAAGGGCACTCGTCCTCAAAAGTAAAAAACTCACTCAACTGAAAGGGGAATTCCACTGAAATTTCTGCATAATGAAACAATTAAGATGTAAACGGAGTTGTTCAGAGTGGTTTGGTGTGAAACGCTCCGTTCTAGAGAAACTTACCGAGTCAGCATTGTTCACAGTGGTGGTGAAAGGAACCAGACGTCCACCTCTAAAAGCTCCCTCACAGAAAGTTATTACATGAAATGGTTATGAATACACTGCCTGATGTTTCATGACAGTCTTGGCCTTTACATCCATTCATGGTCAATGAATACATAATATGTAAAAATAATAATTTCAGATTTTCCTCTATTTTCCTATCAACACCATTCCATGTAAAACTCAGAAGGCATGTGTAGGTTCACTGGTGGTTTTGTATAGAAAATAAAATGTCTATATTTGTGTTGTAGTCATGACAACCCCTGATTCCTATCACCACCACTGTGAAGAAATCTGAACATCTTTATGCAGGAATTAAAAAAAAGTTGGTGGAATTCCCCTTTAAATGCACATTTGAAATGCTAGAAATAAATCAGTGGGTCTTTTCCCCCCTTCAAAGGCACAAAGCAGAAGTTTAAAGGCTTCACATTTGTGATCTGAAGACTCCTTTTCACAGGGAAAAATGAGAATTTGGCATAAATGCGACTGTGATATACTAATATTGTAAAACATTTGTAATAAAACGGGCACATCGACTGAGGTTTAAGGTCTGAGCTGAATTAGGTGTCCACAGAGTAAAGGAGAGTAAACGCTCAGATAAACTGAATGGGGTTCTGTCTTCTCTGATTGCTTCTGATGAGGATACAGGAACGTTGTCCTCACATGGACCCTGAGAGAGACTCTGTGACGTCACGGTGACGTTTCGGTGCCTCCGCTGGAGTGTGTAGGTGTTTGGTGGTTGTTTGCAGGCAGAATAAGGCATTATAGAGGCTTTAAAGGCTCTCCTGGAGCTGGACACCCTCAGCCTGAGATCTTCATGAAGACAGGCGGGGGATGCAGAAGGTCCTTGTCAGGGTTCGCGGAGCTGCTTCAGTTTAGTGCAGACGTCTTCTGCTCCACTCAGCTCCTCAAACACAGGCAGCAGGTTCAGCAGTTCTGTGTCCTCCAGGTCATCAAACCAGGACAGCACAGGCACCTGAGAAGACATCACAGAGAACGCAAAACAATGAACACAAGCTAAAGGAACGCTCTTCTTAATAATAAAAATAAAAATAATAATAATAATAATAATAATAATAATAACAATAACAATAACAACAGAAACTATTTTTAAGGTAGCACTAAATTTAAGGTGGCACTGTATTTAAGATATTAGTAAATATAAGGTGGCAGCCCATTTAAGGTGAGAGTAAAATATAAACAGAGACACATTCAATTCAGTATTACTTAATTACTTAAATTTCATCTGCTTCTAATAATGTGATATATTGGGAAAATACTGTGATAATGAATTTTATTAAAATTTGATTTCAATATCCTTCTGAGCTATGAAACTATGCAAATTAGCTCCATCTGCTGGAAAAAATAAGTGCATTCCAGCAATTCCAAACGGTATTTGAGGCGTGTATGTTGGTACATACTTACTTGCAGTAAACTCAATGTTCATATTATGTCTTATCTTATTCATCATGAAATTTACATACAATGTAAAGGGCAACACATTTTTATTATGTCAAAAACGGAAAAAACGTCAAAAATGAAGATCCAAGGTTTTCTTCCGACAACATATTTATTTATGTTGGTTTTAGGTTGGAATGTTTTACTTACATTCCCTGATGTTTATGGGTCAGAGACATGTTATACTACATGTAATTTGGAACTGTCCGGGTTGTGTGTTGTGGGTCTTTTGTTTTATTTATTTTATGTGCTGCTGCAACAAAACACTTTTCTTCTGGGATTAATAAATCTAATCTAATCTAAAAACCCTCACCACTTCCTCGTTCACTGACCAGATCTGACCAAAAAGTTGTGTTTTATTTTTAAAATGACGAAAAATTAAAGAGACGCTGTTTCTGTTCACTGCTGCACACAGAGAGCAAGATCAGGTTGCCCGATTGGGTAGAACCCAAAACTCGCTCTGAAGTAACAGCGCTGTTTTTTCATTACCCTGTAGTATTTTTTTAAATCTTACTAAAAAGTTAAATAAATAAATACAATTTATGCAATACAGCAAATAAAGATAATTAGGCCAACAATAAGAATTCCAAAAAGGTTTTCTATTCAGGTATTAAAATGAAGCATATCTTTTATGGTAGTTACAGAATATTCAAACATTCAAGATGAAAATTTTCAACAGATGCAGTCCTAATGTTATGACTTCAAACTTTCCCAAAAACAATTTAAACCCAAACCTTCACATGATCTATTACAGACAAAATAAAGCTGGAGTCACACTACATCACTTTTACCCTGATTTTAGCTCCAATTCTCAGTCTGAGCTGGTCAGCAGATTTTGAATCAAAATCGACAGCTCTAGAGAGAATCAAGTCATGTGTGAGCAGTGCTGACTCCGATTTTTGGCCTCCAAACGTGTAATTTTTTTTCAACCCAACTCAGTGTAATATATTGTAAACTGGTCAACGACGCAATCTGAACAGACTCCTGCAACAGCCAATGGAAATTGAGAGCAAGAAAGAAGAAAATACAGCAAGTAAACCAATAAAAATGGTGAAAAGTCACTCAACAAAACATTTTAATGAGCTGAGTTTAAGACAGAATCAAGTTCATGATCATCCAAAACTATAAAAACTACCAGACTGATCACATTTTTACATCCATTATCCTCACTTAAACATGTTTACCTGCTGCTTCTTTGCTGTATCAGCTCAAACGTCAGACAAAACAGCAGCAGCAGCTCCACATTTGTTTGTTTGGGTCTCCTAGTAAGTTCAGGTTCTATTCGGTTCAGCAACAGCTTAAAAGTCGAGTAATGTGTGATACCTAATCGCTTAGTGTGGATCCTCAATATTTCAGCCCGATAGTGTTATAATGTTATAATCTTTCAAACTTTCAAAGGTCATGTAGAGTATCCAGAACTTAAGCAAAAGAATACTAATTTCTTTTAATTATTAATTATATGTTTAATTTTATACTCCGGTTTCCTCCCACAGTCCAAAGACACGCTGCCAGGCCAATTGGACATGCTAATTTGCCCCTGGGTGTGAGTGTGTGTGTGTGAATGTATATGTTTGTGTGTCTGCCCTGCAATGGACTGGTGACCTGTCCAGGGTGTATCCTGCCTTCTGCCCAATGACTGCTGGGATATGCTCCAGCTTCTCCCATGACCCAGAAGGATAAGCAGCTTAGAAAATGTGTGTGTGGAAATAGGAATGTTTAATTTTACATTTTTATATTATATATATTATATATATATATATATATTATATTATATATTTTCCCCATAAGGTAACATTTTCTTCCCTGTAATGCAAAGCCTGAAAAAAAGAAACTCCCAATAAACAATCTGTGTAGGATTAAAGATTACAGCTAAGAGCCTCTCAAACCAAACAGCTGGTGGGGATTCCCTGCACAGCTTATTTAGCTTTTATGGACTTTAAAACAATCAAAACAACCTCAAGCTTGCAGTGAATGGCACTCACTACAGGTAACAGTCAGGTTCTTATTACCTTCAGGAAAGAACACAGAGCAGAATTAAAAACCGCTTGGAAGCAGAAAAGCTGCTATTTTATGGATGAAGCAAATATATTACGAAAGATGTCGCTAAAACTGAAAAGCAATATCACAGAATGTCAATATCAGATGATTTCTCGTTCAGCATGAGTGTTATGATGAGCTCCAGTTATACAAACATGCCCACCTGAACCTCTGTAATTAACCTCACCACCTCAGGTGTGCGTGTACTCACAGCGTTCTCAGGGTGGAAGATGTACGAGGCTGGAGAATTGTCCAGGATGAGGGTCTTGTTGAGCTGGCGTCCGAGACGGCTTAGATCTTTGACGTAGCAGCCCTGGTGGAAGACGCAGGACTCTCGGAAAAGGCGAGTCCGGAACACTCCGCTCTGGTCCAGCAGGTCAGTGACTGGATCAGCGTACTGAAACAGCAAGAGCAGCATGTCACACAGAGCCGGATCTGATCTGCAGCCTGCCACACACAGGCTTCGCTTCTTCAGGCCATTCTGGGTTCATAAACCGCCACCCAAGTTTATTTTGGGATTCACTTTAACACTTTTTAAAAATGTTCCTTTAGATACCATCTACAATTATCCATATCGCTGCTCTCAGAACAAAACCTTGTATATCTATTTTTGTCATTTTTCAGTTTTTGACAATTTCAAAATGCCTGCTGCCCTTTACATTCTGTGTAAATTTCATGATGAATGGACCAAAAGAAACGGCCAGGGTAACACTTTACATTAAGGGTCGCTAATCAATCATTAAATATATAATAAATCAACTATTAGTTTCCCATTATTTAGTTATTAGTTAACTCTTCATTAAGCATTAGCTATTACTTAGTAATTGATTAAGCACTTATCAATTAGTAATTAAGTACACTGTTAGTTGATAAGTTAGTTTGTCTTTAGTTTATGTCTTACTCATTATCTGTGTGCTAACTGCTGCTTATTACATTCATTGCTCAGTCAAAAACGCGACTCCTAGCTGAAAAAAAACATCTGAAAAAGCTGCTTCATGTTAGCCGGGCTAGTTTGGTTAGCAGTAGCTTCTAGCCAGCATAGCTAGCTTAATATAAACAGAGTCTATAACATTCATGCTACATATAAAAGTTCTTCTTTCTTTTGAAAACAGAATTTTACCGAAATCGCTGGCATGTTGTACAAATACACAGAGGCTGCTTGATGTGAAGCAGCTGCAGCAGAACTGCAGTAAAAACAACCTACAGCATCTCAGCTCTGTTTACAGTTAAATCAGAGCTTCCGTCCACTTCTTATTCTCGCTGTTTGTCACAACCGTGCAGGAAAACTAAAATACAGCTGTTGTAGCTCAGTGTTTGAGCGTTACAGTTCACTACTAAACATTTTGACATCGTGTCTGCAGTAGCTATATGGAGAGGACGTGAGTTTTACCCTGCTAATGCTTAAACCGGAAGTAATCGCGAAGCTTGTGAAAAGGGCACATTAATCATGAAAGTTACGTAAAAAAAGAACACCTTTTTTGCCTTTTATAAGGTATGAACTGCTCTGCGTCTGATTCATAACAATTTTGTACGATGTGGAAACAAGTGGAGATTTGAGCATAAATGATAAATCAGCTTCAGTGCATGAAACCAGCCTACCAGCACCTCATTTACATATCATTTACATGAAGCACACACTAATTCATGCAGATGTTTCAGTAGCCAGCCAATAAAACGGCAGTGTTTGGCATGAAAGCTAATGGCCGTGCTCGTGGGTGGAGTTTGATGTCCAGCAGTGAGTGCACTCCTCCCCTGCTGACCAAACTTAATAGTATTAAAATGAAAACAACTGGAAAAAATAAAATGTGAAATAAAACAAAATACTCAGTGCTGTTAACATAGTAGAGTGATTGTTTAGTGTAATTAATTCCCTAAAATAAACGCTGTATTATTGCAGTGTATGACCAAAGCTGTGTTTGTGAGTCGGTAGTATGAAACAAAAGCACAGTGTAATGTGTCTTTAAATGGAACATGAAATAGTTACAGCACTTGTTTATATCAGTGCGCATGTAAGGTAAGTACATCCACTTTTGTACTGGACTGTCATGCACACAAATTAGTATTATTGAAATTTTCTATTGTTGTTCTTATTTTTGCAATTACAGATTATGTTGACAATAATTTTGGTTAATTAGCCACATATCCAGCATTTATGCCCAAATTTACACGCACTCCTACCAGATATGAGTACAGATATGCCAAGATGAACGTGATGAATAACAAAACCGTCCATGAATTTGTGTGCGCTCATCTTACGGTCAGATGTGACCATAAGCATCTTTAATGAACAAGAACCAAAGTGAGAAAAGTGAAGCAACTGAATATATGGAGGTGATGGAAATTTAATTAACAGATAATTAGCAGGATTAACACATAAGTGCTAGTAAGTTATCACATTACTTCTTTATATGAGAAAAAATACTTATTAGTTAATTAACAATGTAATAAGCAGCAGTTAGCACACAGATAATGAGTAAGACATAAACTAAAGACAAACTAACTTATCAACTAACAGTGTACTTAATTACTAATTGATAAGTGCTTAATCAATTACTAAGTAATAGCTAATGCTTAATGAAGAGTTAACTAATAACTAAATAATGGGAAACTAATAGTTGATTATTATATATTTAATGATTGATTAGCGACCCTTAATGTAAAGTGTTACCCTGTAAAGTTACCATTTTGGAGATACTAGGTTTTGTTCTGACAGCAGTGATATGCTCTCTAAGCACAAATCTAAAGAAATCTTTAAAATCAATCAAACCATATGGCTAAAAAGTAAGTTTTTAACAACTCAATGTATCATTAAATTCAGTTAGTCTGGTCACATGACTACTGATTTTTAACAAAATGACTGACAACCCAAATTTCATTATGAAAAAAAAATAAAAATTATGTAATTATAACAGCTCAAAGTACCTCTGTTAGATGGTCTAATGTATAACTATACAAAATTATTAACTCCCCCAACCTTATGTGTGTGATTCTGCCTTTCAGTTTTACTACAGTCATGCACGGTATTGGGGTTTGTAGGCATTGCATTATGGGTACTGCTGTGAATTTATGTTATTACTTTAGTAAATGCATTCACTGCCATGGTGCAGAATGCTCTCCCACCCAGCTGCTCAACAACTTCTACACATCCACTGTAGAGTGCAAACTGACCATCTGTGTAAGAATCTTGTAGGACCCTCCTCAGCTCCCCATCAATGTCTATACATTAACACTACTCCTCTTCAAGCTCCTCAACAACTTCTACATCCACAGTGACCCCTCTCAGCCCCTTACTAACTTCTACAGGTCCACAGGGACCCCACCTTAGCCCCTCACCAACTTCTACACGTCCACACTGACCCCTCTCAAGCTCCTCACCATCTTCTATGGGTCCACAAGAAACCGCCCCCCACCTTTAGCTCCCCCCTCAGCTTTTACGGGTCAACTTCTACAGGTCCACAGTGACTCCCCCGTTACCTCCTCACCAACTTCTGCTGACTACCCCAAGCTATTCACCAACTTCTACAGGTCCACATTGGCTGTGTTTACATGCAAAGATTTTTGCCAATCCGATTGAATACATTCCGATTACAGATTCAGACTGATGTGTTTATATGCGCACTCTATTCAACAAGTCGATGGAAAATCTCAGTTTACATGCGCACTACAAGTAATAGGATGCAAAATGACGCGCATGCGTAGTGCTTAGAGTAAACGTTACCATGACAACGAACATCACGTGAGGTCCATCGGAGTGAGATGAGTTTCCAGTTGGCGCGCTCGAGTATTTAATTACTTTAAAATGATGTCAGACTCGAAGGAAAACGTCTTTCACATGTCCTTATTAAAGAAGGCCAAGAGGAAGACATCGTGCTCTGAGACACTTAAGATGGACGTACATCCCACTGCCGTCTTTTAAAGTTCAAAGCATAACTTCGTCTCCTCTGCAGACCAGTTTCTGCTCCCGCCATGTTAAACATTATAAACTTTTGCCAGAGCCAGTTTATGAGTTCTGTGCTTTTGCTATGACGCGACGCACGTGCGCAGAACGTACTTATACGTTCCGATTTGAAATGTAATTGGATACAGGCCTTTACATGGCTATTATTCTTCTATTTAACAGATTATTTACAGGATTACCCACCACGTTCAATCGGATAGAAATTGTATTCCGAACGGCCTCAATCGGACTAGACTATTCTGACTGAGGTGTTTACATGGACATATTCTATTCCAATTGAGCTATTAGTCGGATTATTAACGGATTATTAGGCTGCATGTAAACGTGGCTATTGTTCCCCTTCAGGCTCCCCACCAACTTCTACAGGTTCCCAGTGACCCCCTTTAGCTTCTCGCCAATTTCTCCAGGACCACAGTGAAGAAGAAACAGACCAGCTTTAATCTGGTATGACCCCATACAGCTTCAAACAGCTGATGACGTGTTTGAGTATAAATACAGTAAACTTGAATTTAACTGAATAACAGAAACAGACTTACTTTAGCAAGACTGGCAGTGAAAAGCACACATTCAAACATCTCTCCCATACGCTGAAGGAACCTGTCAACATGTGGTCTCTTAAGGACATACACCTGATAAACAAACACAACACTTTAGTATTCATAATTACACAATCAGAAAGCCTGAAAATTACTTTAAAATAAATTATCACATTAATTTACACCACGCAGTCATTATGTCAGTGACTCCGCCGAGAAGAGGCCACGTCCAGAAACAAGTAATCAAAAATAGGCCACGCTGGTGGGATACAGCCTATCCTGGATTACTTGAATCAGGCCGAGGCCAACGAGCACCAACAAAACAAGGATTAAAGCACTGCACAAACAATATCTCCTCCAACACACTCAGTTAAAGCTTCAGTTTTCTCATTAATAAGTAACAGAGTAATACAACTGAAATCAGTGATAATTCAACTTAAATGTTAATTACCTGAAATCATTTCTAATTAATACAGTAATTATTCAGTTACCTGAATGAAAGATGACGCTGAGTAATAAAAAATTCAATTCTCATTTGTTCAGCAAAACAAAAGTAAAATACAACACAACAGCGACACCCAATATTGACTTTGGATTGGCAAAAAATTGGAAAAATTCTTAATTCAATTTTTAACTAAACAGAACAAAAAGATTAACCCTCTCCAGACTTCACCCACACATGTTTTCTTCCATAGTTTGTATCACAATACCTACATTTAGCACCAGTTATTCATTCAACCTAATGAGAAACTGTAGAACAGACTTAGTTTGTATCACAATACCTACATTTAGCGCCAGTTATTCATTCACCCTAATGAGAAACTGTAGAACAGACTCAGTTTATATTACAATACCTACATTTAAAGTCAGTTATTCATTCAACCTAATGAGAAACTGTCGAACAGACCTGGTGTGTTGTTCCCTCAATCTCCACCGGAACAATGAAGTCAGCATTACTGATTGGCTGTGGAGGAGATAAGACAGCATTTATGGTTTCACAACTGGTTTCATATCTGATATTTGCCTTGTGCAGTACGCGCGTCAACACAGCACTCTGACATGGACTTCAATTTAATTTACTTTAGAACAGTTTCAATATGACTGAGCATATGGGCTATAACTGTACAGCTATATGCAGCCCAGAGGAGGAACAAGAAGTAAATGTTCCCTATTTTAAGTCGTGGTAAGTCAACCAATAAGGATGTTCTGTGACAAAGATAACAATTTAAAATGTTATACTCCAACAGTTTTGGTTTTAATTCAACAATGCTTTACTGACTGGTATGATTGACAGTTTTCAGTAGGCACACTTTTTACACAGAGTAAAATATTAAACATATAAACACTCAAGTTTACACATTAAACATCCAGCAGAGCCTGTATAAAGAATAAGATATGAATATGATAAAACATGGCTTGATCAGACCTATCTGGGGACTCTTTGGGCGTGGATAATGGGCAACTTAATTGACAGCTCTTTGTCTAACACTCCTAGCCTGTTCTGCCCCTCATACAGAACTAAAATCATTATCCAGCTTTTATGTGACGATAATTGGATGGAAAAGTCACGGACAAAGAGACAAGCAGATGGACAGATGAAGTAACGCGTGAATGAATGAACAGACGAGTAAACAATATTGGTGTTGATAAACAAGTGAACGGACTACAGGCAGCTACAGACAGGTGGGCTAGCGTGCCACCTTTTAGTTATGCTGGGTTAGTTTCAGCTCACTAAGCTTCTCTCACTCTGAAACTGTTCTGTGTGGGCAGGGCCAGATATGCAGCCCTGTAATTGGTCAGGGGAATGATTACAAAAGTGTTAGCCACGATTTGAACTGCCCAGTTTACATTGAAAGAAATATGGTAAAATATATCAGTCATTTACTGGTCAGTGGAACATTATTCAAAGGGTGAACTTAGTACATGTTTACTGTTTGCCTGCAAGAACAAGATTAACCTGATTAGAAAGAAAATATAGATTTAGGTTCCGTGAGTCTTTAAATTCAATTAAACCTCAGAAAGTCACAGTCCTCTTCCTGGTGAGCTACTTTCTTGGAGAGTTTATTTCCTACCTGACACCCCGCTTACCTAACCTAACACTAACGCAGCCAATCGGGGACTTCTAAAGAAGTTTTCTGGCTTTGCAGGTAGGTAGATCTTTAGGACCAGTGTTGGTGACAACTGAGGTGGAGGATGTAACACATTTTCACCTAGAAAATCAACAACAACGTGGAATTTGACCATAAAACTTTGCACACAAATGTATTCACTATATTTAATTACATCATTAAGAACTCCCCGCCACCATAGATGCAGATAATGCGCATGTGAAGTGTTTTACTTTTGATGTTTGTGTTATTAGTTACCTTGAAGGAGCTGTGCACTAGAGTTTCATCCAGGTCTATAACAACACAGATCTTGCCCTGGTCTTCGGCAGTCACCTCGGGCAATAGGCTTGCCTCTGGAATCTGACAGGACAGAAACAAACAAAATGTGTTGAAATGTGAAAATTATTGCTCATCAATTAATCGATAATTATCAATAAAATCAACAGATCAAATTTATCGCTCTTCGTTTTTTCTTTCCTTTTTGTATTAATGAGCGTTTTGCGCTTTGACCCATTATCCAAAACTCCATTCCAGGTTTTACTTTAACTTCTGTTTTTCTTTCATTTAGCCACTGAGATTCAAAGACACAGAGACGCAGTGTTAACAGCCCATTCTGCTAAAATAAAAACCCTAGTGCAGAGGTCGGCAACATGCTGCTCTTTTACTGCCCAGTTGCAGCTCCACAGCAGAATAAGATTTTTAGGTAAAAATAAAATAATCCTCCTTTGCAGTAAAATAAACCTCTGCTGATCGTTCAACAAAGTTTTAACAATAAATGGTCTGAAACACTGGAGCTAATGTACAATGGCTAATTCACCAACCTTTAACCCTGAAACGCACAAAACAATCTTGTCTAGCTAGTAGCTAACGAAAAGGCAAAGAGAAAGACTTAAGATGGACATCAATGATTTAGAAACAAATTGACTTGTTTGCATTTATAATCACTCCAGCTGGTTTCCTGATATGTTTAATCTACAACGAGAAACTGTCAAACACTAAAAAGCTGCAAAGCTGAATTCAGCTTCTCATTCACCAGCTTCTTGTATGAATTTTCACTTTCCACCTTAAATGGTGCAGCAGTTACATTCTGACATGTCAGGCGACATTTAAGTTAGAACGGGAATGAGAAGCTGACTTCAGTCTCATTAAAACACTGGGAGACATTTTACAAGAAACTATTCTACTTTTGTTTCCTGTTGGAGATGTGAGAAAAGTGGCTATAGCTGAGCTAATGCTTAAAAAAAGCTTTGCCTTTTGGCTTATATTTTAATTTTTAGCCTATACTAGTACATTAGCACATACTGAGACATAGTTACAGCCAAGATGGTAAAATGGACATAAAACATTGTGGCTCCTGTGGAACTTAACTTGTTAGGCCTTGACTGAATCATTAGGGCTGGTAAGGGAGGTCTGAATGAACTGAATGAATAGTCAGCTGATCACAATTCCACAGCATAATTAATTCCCTGACTCTTCAAACCTAAATTTCGTGCTGCGACAAAACTCTGACAGGTGTCTTCATGAAAAACACTATTTTCTAACAAGCACTGCGCTCAGTGGATTTCTGTCATTTGTAACTGCAACTGTGGCATTATCATAATCAGCACAGAGCGCTGGGAAAGACGCTGCCAGAACTGGAGCAGCAGTAAAAGCACAGCCATAACCAGCTATGAGGACACCGAGGACCTGCTAAGGTAGATTAGACTACCCATCAGCCATGACTGGTTCCCAGCTGACCTCAGAGCTGCGGTGGTGTGTTTATTTCTGTAAGAGACGCTACGCACAACACTGGAATCCTCTTTGATGTTATATAGAACCCTTTTCAAAAAGGTTCTATATAGAACCATCGACAGCACATTCCCCATCAACCTGAAGAACCATTTAATGATGTAAAGAACCCTAAAGATGGTTCTTCAAGGGTTATTTAGTGAAGAAAAGGCTTTTGGTAGACCCATGAGCACTCAAAGAACCATTTGCATGATTAAAGGGTTCTTTGCATCATGAAATGGTTCTTCAGATTAATGGAAAATGAGCATGAATGTGCTATATTGAACCTTTTTGAAAATGGTTCTTCTAGTGTTATAAGCTTGACAGTGTAACAACAGCAGAATCATTTCTATATAGAACCATCTACAGCACATTCTCCATCAATCTGAAGAACATTTAACCATGCAGAGGGTTCTCTGGGCAATTTTCTTTACTAAAAACCCTTGAAGAACCATCTTTTTTAAGTGTGTACTGCACAGTGTGGAGCAGAATAGTCATGCTTTTATTATATTTCAAGGCGGATTACATTCAATTCTCAAACTAAAATTTAGTTTTTAAATTTAAATCCTCATGGATTGTTTTTCAGTACAGAAGTGAAAACAATGTAATAAAGGGTTTGTTTTTTATTTTGGCTCACATTCTGCAGCTCATTATGAAACAGTAATGTCATTCTTGCTTGGCATTTCACATTTTTCCACTGTGGTAATTGCTTTTCAGTTTCAAACAAACTCCTCTTCATAAAGACTTATTCAGCACAACTTATTCAGCATATCTGGTGTGATGAGTCATACATTCATTATAATATTGTAAAAAATTCGGAAACCACTGATATTGTTGAAGGATCAGCACATTAAAGGACAGCAACATTTATTTTGCTAGTTGTCAGCTCGAAGTAAAGCCTTAAAGAGGAACTCCACCCATTGTACAAAATTCCTGCATAATTATAAATAGTTAAGATGTAAACAGAGTCGCTCAGAGTGGTTTGATGTGAAATGCTCCATTTTAGAGAAATTTTCTGAGTCAGAATTGTTTACAGTGGCAGTGAACCAGACATCTGAATTGACATCTGAGTTGGTAAGTTTTTCTAGGGCTGAACGATTTGGAGAAAATATCTAATTGCGATTTTTCTGACCAATATTGCAAATTAAATTTAAATTGATAGGACTTTAAGTTAAAATTAAGGCCTGTTTTTTTTGGACTAGAATATCCACCTTTTCTGGCTGAACGCTGTGTGCCAAACTGCCAGTAAGCTGTGGTTGTGATGTCACAACACATGGAGGTCTGGTTGCCTCTGACTGGTCTAATTCTACAGGCAGTTCACACGTTACGTGAAAATTTAAGACAATGTTTTTGGTAACGTTGGCTATAACGTTAAAGAATTCCAGCTGCACTCTCTTAAATTGCGATTTCGATATAAAAACGATCTCTCAGCCCTAAGTTTTTCTGCTATGCAGTATTAGACATCAAAGTGTTTACATGTCAATGACACATTCAGCCACATTCGTTTCCTAACTAATGAAACGGAGCAGAAACGCTCACCTTGGCGATGGTCCCATTCTCCTCAGGAGGCAGCAGGGTATCCTGGGAAGGGGGTGGCGGTTGGGGGACATCCTGTGCGCGAAGGCAACAGAAAAGAGCTTTGAAGATGTTCCGACTTCGAGGTTTCTTAGGAGAAGATTTTTTCACCTGGCCTGAAAAGACAGAAAAACACGCATCACATTAAACATGCATGTGTGTTTATATACACGTGCAGTGCTGCATATTAAAGTATCTGTTAAGCGCTTCCTCTGGGCAGTAAACATTTATTTATTCAATAAACACTAGAATAAACACAAATAAACAAACTACTGTGATAGTTCTGAGTGTGAGTGAGTTATCTTAACCTTTTCCTTTCCTCTCCTGGAGGAAGTGTTTACATTTACCATCCAATACCTGCTTTACCTGATCAATACTTCATTAAATTCAATCAGGCAATGGAGCTGAACAGATCCATGTGACGGCTGGAGAGCAGAAGAACCAAATATGTGCTCTTCTAACTGTACTCTTATAACTATATTCATAAATTTTCTGACAAACAACAGGTTTTACTCTTTACTGCGTTTATTTGTACTTTTTCTAATTTTATCTTGTGTTTTTACTGGCACAAACACACAAACCGCTCAGACAAACAGTTGCTTTTGGTATCTTATGAATGTAAAGACTGAGCAACATGTTTATAACCTCTAAATTTATCATCAAAATTCAATACTGAAATTCAGAAAACACTTTCAAACAATAAACACACATACTTTAAAAGAATAAAGCTGCAGAGGCCATACGTTACAGTCTTTTTATGTGGATTATTGCTTTTATAAATGTTGACAACATGTGATATTAGAAAATACACACATTTTCAATATTTAGGTTATGATTAATAATAACCACAGCTGATAGTCTACCATCAAGAAATCTAGTTTATTTAGAGTACGATATTGTTGTTGTGGACCGGTGAACAAGGACAATAGTCACTGCACTCTTCCATTTTTTGTCATATAATACTGAACTTATCAATATATCAGTGTGTAATGCAAAAAAAAACTTTATAAGCATTTTTTGCTCACCAAATTACCATCACAATGATAATGCTAATTCATGCTAGCACCACAATGAGATTTCCTGTATTGTGTTAGCACCAAGCTAATGGTGTCACATTTGTCTTCCCACCAGTTTAACAGCACTTACAGCAAACAAACATCAAAAACATGGGGATTTGCTGTGAGTAAGACATTAAGGTAGCACATGGCCTTCTTTGAGCTGAATTTTGAGGTCATTCGACATCTAACGGTAAATTAACAGAACAGCCTTCTGATCCATTAGGGCCTATCTTCTGACCAATCAGTATCAGCCTTCTGATCCATTAGGGCCTATCTTCTGACCAATCAGTATCAGCCTTCTGATCCATTAGGGCCTTTCTTCTAACCAATCAGTACCAGCCTTCTGACCAATCAGGGCTGAACTTCCGACCAATCAGCATCAGCCTTCTGGCCAAACAGGGCCAAAAATACAAAAATATATAAGTAAATACAGAAGGTTTTCAATATGTTACTAAAATACTTCACAATACAGCTTTAAAGGGAAAACTACAATGTCAGAAGGTATTTATCGTATAAATATGTGCAACAGGCATAATTTTCTACACTATGTTAATATTACATAGCTTGAAAGATTAATAAACTGCGGCTTGAACGAATCTCTGTTGCTGGAGTTAAAAGATCACAGATCAAACACTGCAAACACAGAGACTCACATCACGTCATTACAGTTCATTCTGGGGTCAAAAAATAAATATTGATCATTCTCTTTGTACAAATAAGTCATCCTGTAAGTGCATCTTTCTCTGGAAGTACTGAGGGTTCCTGGCTAATTTGGCCTTTTTTGCTTCAGTCTCACAGTAAAAGCCTCACAGACGCCTCATCACTGCAGAACACACAAGTTCATCAATGACTAAGACTTTAAACAGCCCATATCACTTAAAGTCATTTTTCTCTTCAAGAGTGACCAATCATCCAACCTGTCTCTATCCCTTAGGCTGAAACAGGCTGTTTTTGTTACTGTGCCTTTAAGACGTATGCAAAGATATATGCAAATGAGCACCGTTCTGACTGGCTGTGCCTTGTTTAAAGGAAGTCTGTAATGAAACACTCCTTCTAACTTCAGTGTGAGTGGGCGGGGCAAAACTGCTGTGGGCTGAACAGGCGGATACATGTAAACACATTGGTTTTTGTGACATCACAAAACTAGTTCAAAGCAGGCTGTTTTTAGAGCTGCATGTATTTGGGGAGCAAACAGGCCATTGTTTTTACACTTTAACAATGTTTACACACTACAGTAGCTCTTATTTATCAAAAAAAAAAAAAGGTGAGCTTTTCCACGAAATGGGCTCTTTAATAGAAACAAAATCCTGCAGGAACCGGACAAGCTATTCCAGGGGTGCCCAAAGTCCAGTTCTTTGCATGGTGAAATGGTTCTTCAGATTGATGGAGAATGTTCTCAAAGAAATTTAATTTAAGCATGCAAGTGGTTCTTTGAGTATTTATGGTTCTATACAGCACCAAAAATGGTTCTACTATTGTTACAATGTCAGGCTTGTATACAATAGCTGAACCCTTTTTGGTGCTGTATAGAACCATATACAACACATTCTCCATCAATCTGAAGAACCATTTCACCACGCAGAGAACCATTTAGGCATGCAAATAATTCTTTGAGTGTTCATGGTTCTATATGGAACCTCTATCTTTACTAAAGTACTCCTAAAGAACCATCTTTCAAAGGCACAGTGGTATTTTATCATTTCTGTGAAAAACTGCTCGCAATATGCAATCCTGAGCAGACTGTGGATGTATACAGGAGTTGTGTTTGATTGGATTTAGTGCAGCAAAGTGAGGGAAATGGAAATAAAAATCAGTGTTCTCAATTTTTAATAGTATTTCATATGGTGTGATGCGTTCCGATTCTTCAAACATCAGAAAAGAAAGTATCGTGATAACTGTGACATATTATGATGTTATGTTGTTGCCATATTGTCCATCACTGCTGTAGACAGTCATTGTAGTTTAGCCATAATAAGAGATTAAGTGCTCCTGTTAAAGGGGAATTCCTCAATTTTTTTATAAATAATTGAGTGTGTGAGATGTAAACAGAGTGATTCAGAGAGGTTTGGTGTGAAATGGTTCAGATTTCTTTACAGTGGTGGTGATAGGAACCAGGGGTCATCATGACTACAACACAAATACAGACATTTTATTTACTATCTAAGCCACCAGTGAACCTACATGTGTCTTCTGAGATTATATGGAATGTTTATGATTGGAAGAAAATCTGAAATAATAAGTTTTCTTTGGGGATAATTTTGTCTCACAGCACCATGCATGCATCCTTCCACCACTAATGGATTTTAAGGTCAAACTCTTCTCTAAACTATCATGAACAACGTCTCAGACACCAGGCAGTGTATTCACAACCATTTCAAGTAGTATCTTTTTGTGAGGGAGCTTTTAGATGTGGACGTCTGGTTCCTATCACCACCACTGTGAATAATTCTGACTCGGTAAGTTTCTCTACAACGAAGCATTTCACACCAAACCACTCCGAACGACTTTGTTTACATCTCAGCCATTTAATTATGCAGACATTTTGAAAAAATCGGTGGAGTTCCGCTTTAAAGCTTTAAGATGGACTCACCTGTTTTCGTGGGCAGCTGAATATCTTCTTTTTGCACTTGTGTAATGATAGAACTTTCCATCTAATAAATGCGGAGCCCCTCGAATCCAAACCGTTCCCCCTTCAGCTCAGACACTCCAACATTCAGCCAGAACAGAACCTAGCTGCTCGGCTCCTGCGACGTTGCGCCTTTAAATATATACGAACTTCACACATACATAGATGTTTTTCTTCTCCTTAAATTGAGTTTCTGCGATGATGGCTCGCCTCCCGAGTGATAGGAGCGCGTTCTGGAGGCGGGAGAGAAAACAGGCTACTGTCTAAACAGTAAAATAACCCAATTTTGATCCAGCATGGAGAATCCAGGCGAAAAAAAAGCAAAACAACCAAGGAAATGGGGCAGCGGGGCGGTTTCAAGTTCCCCGCATTGGAGATAAACATCCACTCGGACCGGGTCTCCGCTGACCGCAGAGCCGAACTGACCGAAAAAACGAACGATTTGTCGTTAAAAGAGCCTTATAATCCGCCGCAGTAGAGTTATTGGAGTTATTCTGCGCTCTTTTGGTGGCTACTGCTTTTGTTTTTGCGCCTTTCGGGGCGCCTTGAAACCGTGCGCCGTCGCGGATTGGACCCTTTGGAAGTGGGAGTAGCAGCATTCTTTTCAGCGCGCGCCTGTCGCACATTCCTCCCGCGCGAGGCCTACAGACAGACAGACAGACCTGTCCAAAAGTTTGTAGACACCTGCACCTACTCTTCTGGGAAGGCTTCTAGATGTTGAACATTGCCGTGAGGATTTGATTGAGCATTAGTGAGGTCAGGTACTGATGTTGGATGGTCAGTTCTGGATCACTCCAACTCATCCCAAAGGTGGATGGAGCTCCATCCCTCCAAAGAACACAGTTCCACTGCTCCACAGCCCAAATCAGTTTATACCCCTCTGTGACTTTGGTGGCCATGTCTAACCATTTTAGGGCCTTTGGCATGAACAAGAATGAATACTACATCATTTGTTCAGGAAAGTAAGGGTAATGCATTATTCTAAGGTAAACACAATAAAAGCATAAACAGGAGAAGTACAATCTGTAAGTCAATTTCATGTGCAAATAAAAAGTACACTCCTGTGCAAATAAATGGACTAAGACAAAAATGGCAAAATTTAAGCTTTTAATGGTCTTAAAAACAAATCACTAAACAAACAGCTGCAGTAAGTCAGAATGTGAAAGCTTTTCTTTTTGATTTCTTTAAATGATGAAGTTTTGTGTGTACATTTGCAGACAGTCTTTTACAGAAAGAAGAGTCAGTATTGTTCCACTCAGCACTGATGGCTTTGAACAGCTGAAAAACATTGCTGAGCTAGTTTGAGTTTGATGTGAGACAAAATATTCTCTATAGGGTTGAGATCTGGACCAGCCAAAACCATCAGTAAGCACTGATTTTATATTTTGTCCTATATTTTTGCCCAGGAGTATCTGCTTAATTATCCATTGTGCCTGGCAGTTTCACAATTTCTGTGTTCCTTATTTTTTTGGAAGCAAAGCCATAATTGCTCCATACATTTTACTTCTGCCTGTGTCATGAAGAACTGTAAGTTATTTGTTCTACAGCATTTATTCGCTGGGTTAGTGTATAAGGACTCTTATTGTAAAGGCGGAGGCTGTGTTTATGTGTACATCAGGGGGAACTGAGAATGAGTCTAGAGCCGATGGTTGAGAACACACACACACACACACACACACACACATATATATATATATTATATATATATATATATGTATATATGTGTGTGTGTGTGTGTGTGTGTGTGTGTGTGTGTGTAGTGCTTGGATTCCTTGATTGTGACAAAACAAGAGAACAGTATTATCACTAAACAGTTTTAATGCTAAATTTCACATTCATAAATCAAAATTCTCCAACTCATACATACAGATATTAAGTAATTTGAGCAGAACCTGAAGCTAATTAGCTTATCTAACAGTAGAAAAGCTGTTAAATATTTATGACTATTTGCAACAGTAGCAGTAATGTTAACCAAAAAAGTTAACTGTAGAAAAACAGAAAGATACAGATGAGTTTGCATTATATTTTTGGAAATATTTAATTACATGATTAATTTACATTTTTAGCCATTTAGCGCCTGCCATTCACTCTCATTCATTGAGGTCCCTCTTTGCGCCCTCTAGTGTTTTTTGTTTAATGGGGGCAGAGTGGTCAGCGCGCCCTGTGCTGTTTGCGTTCAAAATATATGTTTTACTTAACTATTTATACGTATGTATATATAAGCTTGAGAGGTTTTGCCAAGGCATTGTGATCACAGCGCCAAAACAAATGAAAAGGCGTTTCTGGAAAAGAGTCCAGGTACAGTTTACATCACCTTAAATGTTGACACCGAAAAGGATTTATGGAGATAATGTAACCAATCAGCACTCATTAGCAGAAATGCTAACCAATCAGCACTCAGTAGAAGTTATGCTAACCAATCAGCACTCAGTAGCAGTAACGCTAACCAAAAAAGTTGCACAAAACCTGTTCCCTGTAGAAAAACGGAAAGTAACAGGTACGTTTGCATTTATTTTACGTAGGTTAACAATGTACTGGAGGTGCTACATAACACGGGTTGTACAGCATAATGTGCTGCATCTCCATCATATTCAGTGATACTGGGCGCTACATCGCTGTTCTTAATTATTAATTGACAGTAAAAGACAGAAATACATTTTTTTCGAGCGTTTTCCCCAACACAGACTACAAATGCTGTCGCGCTGATGACATCACTCTCGCCCGTCCCGCGAATCGACGCAGGCACTGAGCCATGGGATTTGTAGTTCAGTTTTGTTTTAATCGTCACAGCTCCATGGTTCAGAAAATTTTGCTGCTGTTATATTGTTTTCGTGGCTAAATTACTCTTTCACAAACGGTCAAGCTTTAAGAAATGTTTAATCCGCTATTTTATGAATTACGATGGCGAAATAAATGGCTTTATTAGGGTATTAAATTATGCATTATATTACAATCGTTCTTTATTCAAATCTTGCTTCAAATAATCAAAACATCCAAGCTTTTTCCTAATAAAGCTTTAAACATCTACCCAACACATTCTTATCTAAATACAGTGGTAAAAACAAAGGAATGATCATTGATGAAACTCCGTTTCGCCCAGCAGGTGGCGGTAATGCAACGATTGTCGGTTTTTCTTGAAGAACAAGAAGAACCTCCTCTGAACCTTAGCAACATCTGGGCATTTGTGGACCACCGCAGAACTTCTAAATAAGAGAGCGCGACAAAACACTGGTAACGTACATCTTTGACGACTGTTTTCTAAAACAACCTCAGTCATGACAGTCTCATTCATTTCTCTCTGTTTTTGGTTAGCTTGGTAGCTAAAATTAGCTAAATAAACAACTCCACCGCCAGCGCTTAATCAGCATCAGTTTTATACATTACAGCAGCTTGCAGGACTAACAGTTAACTTAAGTGATATTAACGTTCTACAGTGAGTAACCCCAGGCTAAAGTTATCTTCTATTGAGAATTTTCCGATCCACCTTAAATGGAGGCGTCAGAATGTAACTGCCGCACCATTTAAGGTGGAACGGAAAATTCAGGCTCGTGAAGGTTGTATTTCCTGGTCGAGGAAGGTCATATCAAGTAGTTTTGCTTGTATCGATAGTGTTGTTTATGGTCCCGCATAGCACTTTTTTAAAAAAAGGGTTCTTCTGTTGTTACAATGTCAAGCCTGTAACAGTAGAAGGACCCTATTTGGTGCTGAACAGAACAATTTCAAACAGCTTCTGTACAGAACTATAAACGACACATCTCCATCAATCTGAAAAAAAAACATTTCACTATGCAAAGAAACATTTAAGCATAAAATAGTTCTATATAGACGTCATTTTTAACGGCACATGCAACGTCAAAGGGGAACTCCAGTAAATTTTAGAAATTCCTGCATAATTGTTTACATTTTAACTGTTTAGAGTTGTTCAGAGTGGTTTGGTCTAAAACGCTCCATTCTGGAGAAACGTACTAAGTCAGAATTGGTCATAGTGGAGGTGAAAGATGGAATTATGCTAAAATTTTGACAAATCAGTTGAATTCCCCTTAAACTTCTTCCTAGCTGGAGTGTTTCTCATTATGATCCCCACTTTCTTCCCTACAGAAAACAGAGCAACATGTGTGCCGACAGAAGCTGGTCAGCCGAAGAGGAGCAGTCCTCGAAGTTGGTGCGGAAAGCGAAAGAGTCGCCGTTTGTGCCAATCGGTGCGTAGAGGAATACTTGCTATGTAACTGTGAAAACTATAGTGTTGTGCTTTAGGATTGTGGTGGCATAAAAGGGCTTTTACGAAATCGAAGCAAACGAGACGATTCAGAAAAAGACTTGATTTTTCGAATCGTTGGAATCGTCACCCAACAGTGACATCTGGCGGCCAAACGGTGGTCAATACCCGAGCGCGTTAGTGGAGTGGAATGATTTTACTCAGAGCAGCTTTTCGTTTGTGAATCTGCTCACAGATCAGTAGCTAGTGCTTCTCCCCCGAAATATGAGAAAACATTCTGAATGTTTTGAAACGTTTTAACGTAATGTAGCCTCGTTCAGACTTTTCCACCCTGATACAGACCCTGAAAAAGTGTATGAAATACTGCGGTTTAAATCGAATTCGTCACATAGAGTCACTGTTTCAGGTAGACTGTGTACCTGATCATAACAGACTGCAGCACCTTTTACAGTCATTCAATATCAGCTGTAATCCACCCATCTGACTCATTGTGTACATTTAATACAGGCCACAACAGAAACAGCTCCACGGCTGTGCTTTTAATGATGAACTTCTCTCTTATTATGTCTGAACTGTTACCTACACACTTAAAAATGATGAAAGATGAAACCCTTTCATGATGCAAAGAACCAATTAATTAGGCAAACTGTTCTTTGAGTGTTCATGGTTCCATATAGAACCACTTTCTTTACTAAAAAAACATTGAAGAACCCTCTTTTTTAAGTGTGTAGGTTACAGCCACGTAAAGAATGTAGCTCCTCTATTAACACTTTCTTTTTAGTTCTTTAAGGTATTAAGAGGTTAAGCGGTGAGATACAAACAGAAAAGTACTAGATAATTATTTTGGGTAAAATAACAGTCTGTCTAAATTACACTGAATTGAAACAGAGTGATTCAGAGTGGCTTGGAGTGAAATGGTTCAGATTTCTTTACAGTGATGGTGATAGGAACCAGGGGTCGCCATGACACAAATATAGATATTTTATTTACTATCCAAAACCACCAGTGAACCTACACGTGTCTTCTGAGTTTTATATGGAATGTTAACGATGGGAAAATAGTGGAAAATCTGGAAATAACAATTTCTTTGGGGACTGTTTTGCCTCACATGTATCCCTCCACCATAAATGAATTTTAAGTTCTCAAAACTATCATAAAACAGTGTCTCAGACATCAGGCAGTGTATTCATAACCATTTCATGGAATAACTTTCTGTGAGGGAGCTTTTAGAGGTGGATGTCTGTTTCCTATCACCACCAATGTGAACAATTCTGACTCAGTAAGTTTCTCTAGAACAGAGCGTTTCACACCAAACCACTCTGAATGACACTGTTTACATCATAACCATTTAATGATGCTGAAAATTTAGAAAAAACTGGTGGAATTCACCCTTTAACCAGGAAAGTAAACCAGAAAAGCAGGTACTGGTTAGTGCTGTGGGCTAAAACAACAATACAGAGATTGTAAGAGTTTTGTATGGTATTTAATTGTTAAAGAAAGCATTGATTCTTACTGTGGCAGATAAAAATATCTGTTTATATAGTATGATATGTCGTAGCCCAGTGTAACTGATGCACACCTTTCTGTCTTTACTGATTAAAGCTTTATATGTTCTTTGGTACTGCAGTAAAACACCGGTGGGTGTGGAACTGGAACACAGTGAATTTACTTTACAGTTTAATATCAGAGGCTCTTTTAAATGCTATAACATGTACAGCTGGTATCTAATCTTCAACGAATCTAATCTGCTTCTAAAAGGCTTCGCACTTTGTGCCACTTTTCTAGCTCTGGTACCAGGAAGAGTTTCTGATTTACTTTCCTGCTTAAATGTGTGACGTTACATTAAAATTCAGCTTTTAAAATTTGTCTTTTTTCAGCTTAATAGCTAGAACCTGTTTGGCCATTCAGTCTAACTTTGTACACCCTTAAAAGAGATGATTCTTAAAGGGTTTTTCTTAGTAAAGAAAATGGTTCTATAGAACCATGAACACTTAAAAAAAACATTTTTGTGATTAAAGGGTTCTTTGCATGCTGAAATGGCTCCTCAGATTGATAAAGAATGTGTTGTAGGTAGTTCTATATAGAAACTTTTTTGAAAAGGGTTCCGCTATTGTTACAGTTTCAAGCCTGTAACAATAGAAGAACCTTTTTGGTGCTATATAGAACCATATACAACACATTCTCCATCAATCTGAAGAACACTTTAATGATGCAAAGAACCCTTTAATCATGCAAAGGGTTCTTTGAGTGTTCATGGTTCTATATAGAACCATTTTCTTTAGTAAAGAACCCTTGAAGAACCATCTTTTTTAAGTGAGTAGAATGTCTTGGAGTTTATCCAAGTTACACAAAATTATTACCTACCTTTCAAAAAAAAGGTGGTTCACTCAGAGAAGCATCTGCATGCTTAAAGGGTTCTTTGCATGGTAAAATGTTTCTTCAGATTAATACAGAATGTGTTGTATATGATTCCATTTAGCACCAGAAAAGGTTCTGCTGTTGTATACAAGCTTCATAACCTTCTGTGGTGCTAAATGGAGTCATTTCTAACAAGATTCTGTATAAAACCATATACAGCACATTCTCCATCAATCTGAAGAACTATTTCACCATGCAAGGAACACTTTAAGCATGCAAATGGTTCTTTGAGTGTTAATGGTTCTGTCTTTACTAAAGAACTCTTGAAGAAACATCTTTTTTTTAAGAGTGTAGTACTTTGAGTTTGTACTCTTATCTGGTTAAAACCTACAAACAGACAGAAAAGTGATGATCTTGTTCTGTAGGTTCTTTTCTGTCTCCAGTGTAAATCCAGGGCCTTTTGGTTCATATGCATCCTGAATGTTCTGCAGGCATGGCTGGGTTCCTCGGAGTCGTTGCGTATGGACTGTATAGGCTGAAAGCCAGAGGTGACACCAAAATGTCCATCCATCTGATTCACATGCGTGTTAGAGCACAGGGTTTTGTGGTCGGAGCCATGACGCTGGGTAAGAGCTGTTATCTGTCTCCTCATTTTGCAGTTTTAACTCTTAAAGTTGACCAAAACAGTCTTTTTTACCTTATTAGTTTGTTTTCAGCGTGAATCATCATATCATACATCATTTAAAAGACTAAATTCTTGTTTTCTAACAAAATGTAATGATTTTAGCCCTGCCTGTCAATTTTTTTGATGACATCTCTGTGCACCAGTGGGCAGGGTAAAAAAATATAACTCAATAATATGAGGTTTCACCTCGCCCTCCCATCTTAAATCAAATAAACTGTGTTGTTTCTAAGTAACTGGTTTGCATAAAATGGACTTTTTCATTTCAGTGAATGACAGCTGTTAATTTTGATCCAAAGAGAATTCCATTCCAATTACAAAGCCAAATTGCACTGAAATGTTTCAGTTGTTTCACCAACAGTTCTGGGTATCAGGATTATATCTGGATGAGGCCACATAAAAAAATTCAAGTGTAAACACAACCAAAACATACTTAAGACGGATACAAATCTGATCACTCAAACCACTTCAGGAGGTGGACTGAGACACATTTGAGCCACATGTTATAGCAGCGTAAACACATCCGTCTCTCCAAGAGACATTTGACAACCAAAACTCCTCCCTTTGTTTTTTCCCATGGTTGGGAACAAAACAAAATGCTCAGCAGCAACATGGACAGACACGACTGTACAGAACACACTGCAGACAAAGAGACTGAACAGTTGGTAATTGGTTGCCAAGTAACGAGTGAATTTGCATATTCCGTCCCACAGCAATCATTTTCAGTCTCATTAATCTGTCCGCATTGGACTACTAAGTGTAAATGCATGTGGCTAAAATCTTTTCAGGATACAATCCAGATACTGGACACATGAAGTGACCAGGTTTAAACAAGGTCATAGATGTACTGGTCCTGTTGGTGGGGGAACAGAAGTCCTAGAGCTTAATTTGCAGATAATCTTAATTTAATCACAATTGCAATATTGATCAGAAAAATCACAATTTGATATTTTCCCCAAATCGTTCAGCCATAGAGGAAAGAGAGCTGTACGACTGTTCTTTTCATTTTACAAGGCATAGTAATTCAGTGGTCATGTGATCAGCTCGAAAGCAGGACAGTTGTGCGTTTCCACTGCAGGGATGTGAAACGCAGTATTTCTGGATGAGCAGATCTTTGTCACTCAGGTTGTTTCTTCCCGTGTTCCAGGTGTGATTTACTCCATGTATAAAGAGTACCTGGCCCCGAGAGATTCTGAAGAGAAGTGAGCTGGGAGTCACTCTGCAGAGCTTCTGAAGATCTGAAATAGTTTATCTAGATTTGTTCACACAGAAAACAACAGGAAGCAGTTAAACTGTTGGACAGTAAGTGCAGATGACAAACGGGAACAAAGGCACTACAACCTGACTACCATTAGGACCAGGTGGTGTTAATTATAATTATGGTTATAATTATTTATAGTGATTAGAACTATTTTAATGCAGATTATCTTACACATTTGGGACATCATTTTCTATTTATGTGAGAGTATTTCGTTTCTGAAGTATATGTAAAGTATATATTGTATGTGCGCTCCTGGTCAAATGACATGTTTTGGTTGATTTTAAATAAAGTAAAAATAAGCTCTACAGGGAACACACGTCTGCACAGTTTAATGTAATATTACTGTTTATTTACTCAATGTGACATATAGGAAAAAATAAAACAAAATGTGGCCTGTGGTATATATATATATATATACATTTTTTTTTCAGTATTTTAAATAGAAAATTGAGTAAAAATGATTATATTTGTGTTCTCTGTAGAGGATCTGTTTACCTATTTTCACTTCAGCAAAACATGTCATTTGACCAGGATTGTTCAAACTTTTGCTTACATCTTTTTGTGAGCAGCACTTTATTTACTAGTATTCATTGATCCAACATTGGGGGGTGGGGGGTAGGGGTGGATTTTGTATTTTTATTTCGGATTTTGTTTTAAAAACTCTTAAGGCTATCGTTTCCCACACACTGCCAAACCTACACTTAGATGTTCATTAAAAAACATAAATAAAGACATACAATATATTACCAAACAATACTTAAGTGACAGTAATATTTACAGGAAAACAACATCATGATCACTAAAATGGAATGTTCTCGATGACTCATCAGTTTCTGATTATACAAATAAAAACTGAATATTGACACACTGAGTCTGGTGTAAACGGGCTTTGTATTTGAATATTAATGTGAATATAACTCAAATAATATACAGGTGCTGTACATGCAGCCCTGACTACATCTGTTTTCTAGCTGTCGATCAGTACACCAGCTGATCAGCAATTATGTGGTAAGGCAATAACTACAGGGGAATTCCACCAACTTTTCAAATTCCCTGCATAATTAAACGGTTAAGATGTAAACAGAGTCATTCAGAGTGTTTTACATTTGGTCTTATCTTGCTATTTTTGTCCACGTATAATGCTTGTGTGGTTTTATGTATCAAAAACAGTCATAATTCAGTTGTGCATGTCTATTTTACAACCTCTCATCCCTTAGAATTAAACAGGCTATTTCTGTACCTGTGATGTTAAGACTGACAGATGTAAATAAGCTCTGTTTGGATTGGCTGCCCTGTATTGTGCCTCATTCTTATAGCTTTAGTGAGAGTGGGCTGAATAGGGTGGATATAGATGGATTTTCTTGACATCACAAAAACAGTAAGTATAAACAGCTTAATTTCCATATATGGACAGTATGGACTGTTGAAGTGAAGGGATGTTTTACAGCATTGAACAGTGTTTACATACAACTCATTTCATAAACAAAAATTAAGGTAAATTAGATTTTTTTGTGATATGGGCCCTTTAATGTCTCTAAAAGCTCCCTCACAGAAAGTTATTACATGAAATGGTTATGAATACACTGCCTGATGTCTGAGATATTGTTTTATGATAGTTTTCAGAACTTAAACTCCATTCATGGTGGAAAGATACATAACATGCAGGGTGTTGTGAAAACTTAGTATTTCATATTTTCCATTATTTTCCCATCATCAACACTCCATATAAACTCAGACACGTGTAGGTTCACTGGTGGTTTTTGATAGTAAATAAAATGGCTATATTTGTGTTCTAGTCATGGCGACCCCTGGTTCTTATCACCACCACTGTAAAGAAATCTGAACCACTTCACACCAAACCACTCTGAATCACTCTGTTTACATCTTACATGCTCAATTATGTATAAATTAAACATCATTACAGTTAAATGTATTGGTTTTGTTTGTAATGATCAGCATTACTAATATCTACTTGGCATTTCAGTGTAATTTAGACAGACTGTCATTATCTAGTGTTTTGGAGTGTGTATCTCACCCCAAACCTCTTAACACCTTAAAGATCTGTAAAAGAAAGTGTTCATAGAGGGGTTACATTCTTAGACAACATTTTTTAAAAAATCTGCTTTAAAAGATACAAAAACAGTTTATTCTTTGCATAAGAAGTTCGTTCTCTCATCTACACCTTATCATCAGCATTTCACATAATAAGCAGTGTTTGCACTTATCTTTTATCTGCGGGTCACTGATCCTCCAGCACGTCACATGTCAAGTGTGGATAATGGATGTATATTTAGCACTAATTACATCAATTATCAGTCTTGAAGTTGCGACACACAATACCAAATAAAACTGAAAATAAAAAAACATTATAAACACAAAAAAGGAAAGAGAAGAATGACACTTCTTCATTCTCAGCAGTTTAATAAGAAGGACAAAAAGACACCGCCTAGCTAAAGTATTTGGACAGTGCTTTGTGGCTAATTGTAATTACATAATGAGTTGAACAGAAATAAATTGATTAAGTTCTCCTAAAAGGCTCTGCAATCATTCTGTGGCATTTTTCATTGTTGTAATGTTAAAACGAGAACTAATTTGCAAATAAAGATTCATTTGATCTCCAATTAGAGATAAAGTCCTAATACCTTTGGAAGAATGGTGTGTTTTTCTTAAAGCATAATGAAATAGTATAAAAATACAGCAAAATACCTCATTGTTGTCTCAGTGTGAGACAGTCATTCTTTTTGTTCTCAGCAGAGTGCCAAAGAGCTCCGACTCATTCAGGTACACACTTCAAATTGATGATTCTTCAAGGGTTCTTTAAGAAAGAGAATGGTTTATATAGGACCATGAACACTCTAAGAACCTTTTGCATGATTAAAGAGTTCTTTGCAAAGTGGAATGTTTTTTTCAGGCTGATGGAGAATGTGTTGTATATGGTTTTATGTAGAACCTTTTTGAAAATGGTTCTTCTATTGTATACAATTTTGACATCGTAACAATAGAAGAACCCTTTTTGGTGCTATATAGAACCATTTTCAAAAGGGTAGGAAGAGGCTGTTCACCATGCAAAAAGTTCTTTGAGTGTTCATGGTTCTACATGGAACCATTTTCTTTCCTAAAGAACCCTTGCAGAACCATTTATTTTAAGTGTGTAGAGCTAATAATAATAATAGTAGTAGCTTTTATAAAGTGTAATTCTTTAAAAATTACATTTTATGGGAACATCTTATAACATTAAGGCAATAGTAAAATAGAAAATCAAACATTTGTCAAGCAAAAACAAACAAAACTGCAGCAACCTGGAGTTAGAAGGTAAAGGATTTCTGTTTTCTGACAAACATCAGTGAATCCCTCTCAGTTCAGACTGATTCGAATAAAGGAATGAGATGGTAATAAGAGGCTGGAGGAATAAAGTCTTTTCAGACTAACTCAGAGTTTAACATGAGGTTATTTGTGTCACAAAGGCTGAAATTTCAGTAACACTACTGAAGGTCAGAGTTCATGAGGCTTCATAAACACCTACATACAGCTGACACAGACTGACAAACACTTAAAAAGACTTTTTTTGGGCTGCAACAGCTAATTGACATTATAATGAAGTGCTTCTACATATAAAAGCTAAAATAAATTACTTTAGTGGTAAGTAAAGTGCTTCAGTAAAATATACGCTTAAGCACTGACGATATTCACTATATGAACAGAAGAGCATGCTGTGGCATAATTTATCATAACGATAAATATCATATTGCCCAAACCAAATTCCCCTGCAGTAAAGTGTTACTGAAATTTTGAACCATTTCAACCAGTATATACATTTACTGTCCATTAACATGTTCAGTATGAGAAAATTCTATATATCAGTCATTAGACGGAAGATCTAGAACAGCTTTTCTCCCACAACGCCTCACTTGCATCAAATTGCTCACATCCAGTAATAATTACAATAAAAATAATGATAATATCAGCTCACTTACAAAATACTGGCACAACAGTCTTAAGCATCACTGTGTAACGACCCCATAATGACATCTAACAATAAACAGAGTTTTTAATCAGCTTTGCTGTAGTTCTGTCTCATAATAAGGCATCGTATAGAATATATATATAAGCCATAAGGCTCAAAATGTACATTTTTTATATACAGGCTGTGAAGATGTAAAGAAGTATGTTTATTTTAGTGTTTCAACAAAAATCCCAAATATTTAACTTTTCAGCAAATACAGTACTGTGCAAACAAAGATGATGTAAAGCTGTTATTTGTTAAAAAAGCACAGATATTAGAATCAATACAAATAGTTCTAATTGTTCTGTGTTTGTTTAACTATTTTCAAATCTCGAGGAAGAAGCCCTGTATTACTGGACATATCATCCAATATCCTAATTCTTCTAATCAATACTTCATTACATTAAATTAGGAGACTGAACTGAACAAATCCATGTCATGGGTGGGGCGCAGAAGAACCAAACTTGTGGTTTTCTAACTTACATATTCATAACTTTACTGAAAACAGCACATTCTGATTATTATTATTATTTACATTATGATTAATTGTGTTTATTCTAATGTTATGTGGCATTTTTACTGGTTAAAACGCTCACTGACCAGATAAACAGTTTTAAACCTTTTTTTGCACAGTACTGTATCTGTTAGATGAGTGGAAGCGTGATCTGTTCAAGCTAATAAAGAACCTGTTTTTGCACCAGACTGATTAGGAACATGCTGTTCAGTAAGTCAACCAAGTCTGGGAAACTGTCTTACAGAAATATGTCTGGATTAACTGAAATTATTCCAAACTTGCTGTGTATTTGTGCTGGATGTGCTGCTAACTAGCCTGTATGTGTGTGTATTACATACACTGAAACTAAAGCATCAAACAGCACCATTGAAAATCAAACATTTACTTGAATTAAGTGCTTCTACATATAAACACTTAAATAAATTACTTTAGTGGAAAGTAAACTGCTTCAGTAAAATATATATTTAAATTACTTTTTTTGCATCACGAGAAGAATTAGAAAGTTCATAAACTAATGTTTTAATAAAGCAGCTACTAAAACAACTTATAGTTTACAAAAATGATTAAAAATGGTAAAAACAAAAGTTAGAGACCTTTCATTTATTTAATTTCCAGTCAAAATGGCCATTAAGTCCACACTATTCATTTTTCAGCATCAGAAAAAAGCAGAAGCTTCAACAGCTAAATCTAATCTCAGCTGTTGGAGGGTTCAGTGTGTCACTCTTTACCTTTATTCCAGCTTCCACTCTTTTCAGGAGACTCACTTTCAGTTTCTCAAAGAAATCTGCAGACACACCTCCAAAGTTCAGTCTTAGAAGTTAGAGGTAATCAAACACATTCAATGATGTTGAGGTCTGGACTCTAGTCTGGGTGGTCAGTCTATTGTTCAGCTTCTTTGTTTGATGTGTCTGTCTCCTTTTCTCAGTGAGGTTCTTCTTGACAGCTACACATCTTTTCAGACCCATAGCGTTGAGTTGTCTTCTCACAGTGGAAGGATGGACAGAAACACCTGTGGATGTTTTCAGATCTGAAGCAGTTTGATTTTCTCCTCTCTCTCTCGAGGATGAAGGCTTTAAGTGCTGTCTATCTGATGGGGGCAGTTTTGGTGTCAAGTCTTCCAGGTGGTTGTTCGGAGTCTCATTTTCTCTGTAGATTTTAATCCTTCAGTTTTGGAAACTCAATTTCTTTTTGACTTTCTCCTCCATTAAGTTAATTATCTAATATCTAATCTCCTCACAAACATCTCCTGAGCGATGTCTAACTTGAACTTAAAGGCTGTTTTGACTGGAAATGAAACCCGTGAAGGGTCCCTGACTTTTGCACAGTACTGTGTGTATATACAGTAAAATCACCAAACGTGGAAGTGCGATTGGGATCAACTGGTCATTTCAAAAGACGACTTCTGCGCAACATTTTAGAGGTTGATTTTAAACAAGTGCTCTTAAAATAGACATGAAACCTACTCCTCTTTTGGAAGCAAGACAAAAGTTCATCACTTCAGATGAGAACAGAGGCAGTTTTGGGTTGGTCCTTGGTTGACACTGGAGGTTAAAAAAATGCCAGTTTTCATGAAAACCAAATTTAAACTGTTAAATATCAGTATTTCAGTGTTATGATGGTGGTTTGTTCTATTATTATTACTACTAATAGTATTAATAAAAGCAGATGCTGGTAACAGTCGCTATAATGACTCTAGGTCTCAGACTAATAGAACTAGTCAATTCTTAGTGAGGGAACTGAATCGAGTTCATACGATGAGTGAATCAATAAAAACTCTTAAATTATCTTCACTTAAACAGATGACATCATTATCATGTCATTCCCAAACAGGAATACCGTAACAGCTGCAATCTGCAGTTTCACCTGCAAGGTCACTTTAGAGCGGACACAGCAGCTCAGGGTGAGTTCCAGTAGTCGGTCCAGTCCAGTTTCCTCATGTACTGGGACGTGTACATAAAACACCAACAAAAACAAAATGTTCCTTACATTCTGTTAATTCTCCTCTAGACAGTCACCGTCCATGTTATTCAGCAGGTAAATATCGATGTGGCGAGCCTGCCCCACCTGAATCTAAGAGAAAGAGAGGGCAACATTACAAATATTGCGTACAACATTAAATAAAGCTAGTGTTACAAAGGTAAGTGCTGCTCCACATTTCCCTACATTCGGGTTCTTTTTGACTGCAAGTTCCTAAACGTACTTCTGATCAATGTGCACTGTTGCGTTTTGTTTTGGAAGAAAATGTCTTTACATTAACTTAGAAAAAAAAGAAAAGAATGTTTTTGCCCTCTCCTGTAAAGAGATATTTGTTTTCCTTTGGACAGCAATGATGTGTTGCTATAAAATGTGTAGAAATCTTTCACTGTTAATGTGCAAGTTACCCACTAATACCGGAGAACACAACGTTCATTGTTACCATAAACAATCTGAAAGGCTGACTTGTCAGACCACAATAAAAATTTCCATTGAGCAACAGTCCATTTCAGATGAGCTCGAGCCCAGAGAAGTCAGCGGTGTTTCTGGACGTTGTTCATGTATGACTTCCACTGTGCAGAGTACAGTCTTAACCTGCATTTGTGGATGCAGCGACAGATGGTGATTATTGAGGATGGTTTGTCAAAGTATTCCCGAGCCAATGTGGTGATGTCCACATTAACGTTGTGCCATCTCAGGGGTCTGTGAATCTTTCAGTGAAATGATATAATTTTATCATTTTAATGATATTATTCTTAAATCATTGCATTATTCACAGACACATTATTTGTGGCCATCTCCACTCATAAAGGACTCTTTCGTGGATGCTCCAAGCATGATTACATCACTGGTTTAAGATGTTTTTTGAACATTTCACAATGTGTTTAGTCTTAAATTCTTTAGAACATGTTGCAGGCCTTAATTTCAGAATAAGCCTATATTTACAAAGAATAATGAAGGTAAGTGTTTTCTTCTAACCAACATGTTCATAACTCTATTGAAAACAGCACTTTGAGTACTGACTACTGTATTTATGTCTATTTGTATATTTATTCTAATGTTAAATACTGTTTTTACTGGCAGACCAACCACCCAGATAAACAGTTTTCTTGGACATTTGATTAAAATATGTCCACTGAATACTAATGACTAAAGATACAGACTGCATACAGATGTCATTTGTCTTTTAGGATCGTTAAATCATGGCGATGTTTATAAGTAACTAATAACAAATTATACTTTAAGTACAATGTTGGTTCCAGGTCTATTTTGATCTTCAAATGTGTGCAGTTGGAACTACAGGACCAAGAGAGCTTCAACAAAATTTGATTTTAACAGAAATTTCCCAAGAATGCTTTTAATAGCTTTTAACATGTTTCTGTAGAGCTTGTTTGGAAAGTCTGCCACAAATATATAAACAGTTTCCTGTGGTAACATTATCAAGCCCTCAGTGAAGTGAGTGAATTTCATTTTACTCAGCCTTCAGCAAAACTCTGACCAACATTTTCATTAAACTGCATCAGAATTTTATAGACATGCGAGTCTGTGATGAAAAACATTAACAATGCACCACATGCATTTTCACTGTAATTCCAAGCCGTTTGGAATCACTTGTCATTAACTTTTAGTGTTATACATCAGCTATACACTATATACAATAATAACTTATACAATGTAGATTTAAATCTTATAAATTAGACACCAACAGGTGTGTTAGATGCTCAGTAGTTGTTCAATATTTCAAGAAATATTAAGAATTTTCAGAAGAAAACAAGAAGTTGATAAATTATAAGAAACAAGGTTCTTTGGTGTGTGTGTGTATATATATATATATATATACACACATATACATATACACATATACACATATATACATATATATATATATATACACATATATATATATACACACATATACATATATATATATATACACATATACATATATATACATATATATATATACACACATATACATATACATATATATATACACACATATACATATATATATATATATATATATACACACACATATACATACATACATATATATATATATATATATACACACATACATATACACATACACACACATACCATGACACCTCAAAGAATCATTTTAATGCACATATAGTCCTTTGCATGGTTAAATGGCTCTTCTCGATGATGGAAAACCTGATTGTTCATTAAAGAAACTTTTTAAAGTGGTTCTATACAGCACAAAAAGGGTTCCACTATTGTTACAAGTTATAGAACCTTTTTTGGGTACTGTATAGAAATATTTTTGCTAAGAGTCTACTGTATTGTTCAGGATGACCAGGTTAGAATCAACATAATGCTATCATAATAAGAGTCCCATATTATTCTGCTTTTTAATGTTTGTTCAATTAACTAAACACTAAAATATTTATTTAACACTCTGAATCAGTATTAATACTACTGCTATTGCAATGGAATGGCCAATAAACACTGAATAATATGCACCTAAATGAGTGTATATGTTATGTAGCTAAAATTTGCAAAACAATTTGTAAAAAAAAAAAATATTCCAGATTCCAAACTTCTGAATGCTAGTGTATTTCTGTGGTTTCTGTTCAGGTTCTTAGGTGCTTTTTCTGATTTTTCTCATCAGGTCCTATTGTAGCCACTTTTTATCTCCTTTTATTTCTGTTTTAAAATTAAAAGTAGATTCTGCAGACACAAAATCTGTATCATTCAAGAATCAGTATTTATGAATATGATAAATATAATAAATTTAGACAAAATTACAATTTGAAATGGAAAAAACTAATCATTGATCCTCTATAGCATGGATAAAACTACTTTATCAAGGTTTTAAAAACAAACTAAACCCAGATAATTATAAACACCAACATACACCTGTTAACATTAAGCCTTAGCCAACTACAAATCTGCTGTTCTTTGGGTGCTCCCATTCTTTTAGGTGGGATTAAGGTACTAGATATTAAGAAATATAGTAATAACCCATAAATGCAATGTCTGTATTCTGTATTTTATTACTTCACTTTAACTTCAGACATTATTGTTTTAATGAACAGATTCAATAAAACAAGAACTTTGGCTCATAGAATGTAATTGTTTTACTACAGTGATGAAACTGTACATGTAATATAATGTGCACTCAACATGAACGGATGAAAAACTGACACTAGATCAGTACATCAGGAGGCATCTGCATGTAACAGAACCTTTGCATAGTTTGCAATGATAAACAGATGAACTTATAATGAGAACTAAACTGAAGTTACAAAATAAAGTGGATAAAAATTAAATCAATAGTTATAATTTCAAAGAGATTTGTCAGATTATTCTAACTCTCAAAATGTTCACATTTTCAAACAACAGAACATTCACAGTCTAGACTTTTGGACCAAATGACATTTTTCCCCACATAGAGAACAAATCCCACATCATCTACAACAGTGTCAAAACAAATCAGAGTTTTTACCACTAAAAATAGCAGCACTTTTAACTTGGCTGCAGCTGCGCTTGAGCCAAATTTTCCAGGCCATTAAAGTTAAAGCTATTTTTGGTGCATTATCAAGCACAAGCTGCTGCTGCATTTTGGTCACACGGTCTGCATGTATTACATTACATTTAGGACTTAAAGCATTGTGATAGAACCAGGTAAAATAAATTAATGCTATTCAAACAGGAGAATACAGCAAGTCACAGTTTTTCTGCATTATAACAACAAATTTTCATTAACACAACAGTGGGCGGAAATGTTATATATTGTAAATAAACAATTTTAATAAAAAAAAAATGCTGGTGTCAGTCTAAACAGGGCTGAGTATCGAAACCTTTATAATGTTGACTAAATTACTTCAATCCCTAAGCATGCAGTAGCCAATCAGCATCCTTGTAACAAAATCTAGGCTGCTGATTGGCTGTATGTTCCCTATGCATGTTATTAACATCAGTATTTCATGATTTCTATGCAGTCTAAAATTATACCCATCTTCAGCACCTGCGTTAAGCCACACCCACTCTGTCTATTTAAAGGTATCGAAAACAGCATCGTTCAGATACAAGTATTGACGCAAGACATACTGTGTCCTAAACTGTATCTTCGCCACCTTAAGGAAGACCTGGATGCAGTTTGAACATGCTGAGAGATGTTTTGAGGGTGTATTTGCAGAAAAGATTCGGGTGACTATTGACTATTCTAGTGTTAGCAATGAAATACCAAACACGTCTCAGCTGGTCGACTACATCTTGGGCAAATGGAAAATTTTGAACATTTATTGCTATGACAAACCATTCCTTTAACTTTTTGATTTTCTAATATATTTTAAACAATTTTGGACCAATTCTGTTGGTTTCAATTCATTTCAGTGTGACTTGAAGGCGGTGCCTTGAAATAGTGTTATGAGGTTTTGATCTGATGGTGACAATATTGAATGCATCACAGTACAGAAAAGCTAATTTTGAGATTTGTGAAAATAAAAATAACAGACAAAAAACAAAATAGACATCAAGGTCATCATTTCTAGCACTCTTAAATTAACAAATTAACATACAATTAAAGTAAAAATGACCAGTGTAGATGCTACAATGAAGTACAAAGCTACCAGAACTACATAAATTAGAAATCAGGATTATTTCAGACACACCATGTAAATCCAAAGGCACTACATGAAGGGCCAGCATGTGAGGTCATTATTATCTCTGTGAACCAACTGTGTTTCATATTTAGTAGTATTTTAAATGAGGAAAAAATAACAGCAGATCATAAAGGAATAATTTGAGGGAGCTGATTTATCAGATACACATAAAAAGTTATATTTTCATCTGACAAGTATCAAGTAAAGGCTGTTATTATTGTAATTAATAATATTGTTATTATTACTGACTTTTAATCTTCTTTAGCTCATGCAAGCCCTTGTTCATCATCTTCTTGATTTACTACATTGTGGATGGAAACAGGAAGAGAAAGTGTCCTGTGTTTTATGAAACTGCACTTATGGATGCTGTTATATTTTCACTGTGATGAAAATTTCCTTACAAAAAAGAGGTTCTGTGTCTAATTAAAACTGTAATTCCTGTCTAAATTCTCTGAGAGTTTGCTACTGCACACTGTTTAGTTATTTATGTACCAAAAAAATCTGCTGACAAACACTGAACCTTCAAAATAAAAAGTCACTCCTCATAGGTATCGAGTAACTGAGTTAGCATTTTTGATTTCCCAACTTCCCTAAATTCACAGTTATACCATAAAACACTCAGTGGACCATTTAAAATGTGATAGAAATCATCCTGGTTTACCCTGTGTTCATCCAGTTAAGCTTGAGCCAAATAACTGCTTTTAACAAACTAATAGGCTGTGCGTTAACTTAGCACACCACAGCTTAGCACAGCACTGTAAGCTGCAAGGCTAACTTAGCATCCTAACAAGCAGTGAAAGCTAATATTCACCTATTAACACGATACAAACTTCAGTTTAAGTGTTCAGCTGTAGCTTATTTACCTCAGGTTTTCAGTTAATGCTTTGATACTCTACTGTGAAGCGAGGCTAATGTTAACTTTCACTTCATGTTAGCAAAGTCTAGCATTTAGTACGATGCCAACAGAGTTACTATCACTGCACATTTACCTCAATAATGCTGTTTTACTGTGTAATACCATTCAAAGTGACTTTAGAGACATACATACTTTAAATATACACACTTAAAAAGATGGTTCTTTAGTAAAACCAATCGACCATGAGTTCTACGTAAAACCACTTGGTTAAATGGTTCTTTGCATGGTGAAATGGTTCTTCAGATTGATGGAGAATGTGTTATGAATGGTTTTATATAGCACAAAACAACCCTTTTTTTGTGGCATATAGAACCATTTTCAAAAAGCTTCTATATAGAACCATATACAACACATTCTCCATCAATATGAAAAACTATTTTACCACGCAAAGAGCTACCAAAGCATGAAATGTTTTAATAGAACACATGATTCTATATAGAACCATTGTCTTTACTAAAGAACCATCTTTTTTAAGAGTGTACATGATAATCTTCCCATGCAGCTCTTATCAGAGGCGCTTACAGGAGTTTACCTGCCATAAAATGCTGAAAAAGTTCAGGTTTAACCCCTTAAATGGCCAGGAGCTGCCGGCAAGTCCAAACTTCTGATTATCTCTCAGCATAAGTGAATGGTCAGGGTGTAAACTAGTTCATTTATCCTACATCTCAACCCTTTAATTATGGAGAATTTGTGAAATATTGGAGGAATTTCCCTTTAACAATAACTTAATTTAAATTGCTTCCCATGCAGTTACAGAATAATAAGGCATATTATGTAATAAACGTGAAAAGGTCCCATAAAAATGTGAAAAGGTTAAAAAAAAAAATAGATTAATGATTATCCTTCAGTGAACACCGCAAGCTGCAGATGTGATGAGTACAAAAGGGCCCATATCAGGGAAAATCAAATTCAAATATGGGAGTCTGGTGTAGTGCGTACTGTAAAGTTTCAAAGCATACTGTTCTCTCACCATTACATACAGTCCTTATAGGGACACTACGCTGCAAAAAAAGCCTGTTTTTAACTTTTTTTTGTGATGTCATATATCCTCCTATTCAGGCTACAGTGATTTAGCCCCACCCATTCACACTGCAGTTATAAAGAGTCTGCTTCTTGAATGAGCCACAATACAGGATAGCTAATGAGAAAGGCGTCTCAGTCCGGGTAGTGTAACATTCACACTCTTTACATACTACATCAAATTTAAAAAACATGAAGACAATTTGGTTTTCCATGATATGGGCCCTTTGATTTCTATTCTTATATTTTCATTATTTTTTTTTTTGGTTAAATTTAGCAAACGACATAAATGAGCCTTTTTGTCCTGGCAACGACTAAAAAAAAACAGTTATTTTGTATTAAAATGTGCAGAAGCGTGTTCTCTGTAGAAGATGTGTAACCTATTTACACATACATGGTATTTGACCAGTAGGGCCTACACTTCTAGACAATGCTGCACAACAAATCAAAATGTTTGATGGATTCAGGGCTGAAATGTTAAATTCTGAACTGAATATGTATTACACACTATACAAACCCAGCTTTAACAAACAACCTCATGTGCAGAAGCTCCTGTTCGATTTAAATATGCTAATGAGTGTCTCTAATGTGCACCTGTGTGATTGTAAATGCATATTTTCCATCACCTAATATACTGTATTATTTGTTACAACAGCCTGCTTTGAATATCTAACAATATTTGAGTAACAGTGAAGCAAAAAGAAAAACAGAACTATTGTTAGTTCATAAAGTTCTGCACCAAAGCTCATTTAAAGTATAAAGGGAAATTCCACCCATTTTGCAAAATTTCTTCATAATTAAGCAATTAAGATGTAAACAGAGTCGGTCAGAGTGATTTGGTATGAATTGCTCCATTCTAGAGAAACTTACCGAGTCAGAATTGTTCACACTGGTGGTGATAGGAACCAGACATCCACCTCTAAAAACTCCCACACAGAAAGTTATTACATGAAATGGTTATGAATACACTGCCTGATGTCTGAGACATTGTTTTACAATAGCTTTCAGAATATTATAGTCCCCAAAGAAAACGTATTATTTCAGATTTTCCACTATTTTTCCATCATCAACATTCCATATAAAACTCAGAAGACACGTGTAGGTTCACTGGTGGTTTTGGATAGTAAATAAAATGTCTGTATTTTTTGTTGAAGTCATGGCGACCCCTGGTTCCTATCACCACCACTGTAAAGACATATGAACCATTTCACACCAAACCACTCTGAATCACCCTGTTTACATCTCAAACACTGAATTATGCAGAAATGTTGAAAAATCAGTGGAATTCCTCTTTAAAAGGTATCCTCTGTTGACTTGGTATTCTATAATTTCATGACAGGCCACATTAACTGTAACTGTTCTGCTGATTAACTACAAAATAGCACCCTTCTTTTAACCATTAGCAACATATTGATCCACATGGTGTTTCACTGATTTCCGTCAAATGAAGATGATCAGCAGCCGAGGAGAGAATCCATAAAATAGCTAACTCTATACAAAGCACATATGTGTTTCCCATGTGCTGTTTCAGGAATGTTGTTTCTAAAAGCCGAGTCATTACACACGTCTGTCTTTAAAATCCGTGCTCTGGTGGAACCATTTGCTCGGTTTTAAGAATCAAACTCAGGCTCTTCCTCAATGAGAACTGTGGGTGGGTTCCTTACCCTGCCACCTACATCCAGACAGGAGACACCCAGGGCGATCAGACAATGCCACACCTACAAAGGAGAGAGAAAGAGATGGATATTGGTATTGACCACAGCTGCAATAATATTATATATTATAATATGCAATAATTAAAGATTATAAACAAAAACAGTGAAGCCATTTGAATAACAAATAACTTCATCAGGCTTAGAAATCACACAGGGATGCTAGCAGAAATTAGTATTATCGTGGAAGTGTGATTTTTCTCAATTTTTTTACCAAATTTTAATATTTATGACCTAAACAAAATAAATTATCTATTTCGGCAAGATTTGGAATAGTAAATTCATTAATAATAATAATTTTATTAAAATAATCATTCTCACAAAATGGCCTCAAACCTTATCCATAAATATTTGAGTGTCGATCATCACACATACAATATTTATATCTCTTGAAACTCTATATGATACAACAAAAAGCTAATATTTAAAAGTGATTTTAATAACTCCTTTGTAAGTCTTTTGTGATAATGACTTGCTAATAAGAGTTCATCTCGCTCACCAGGTATCCAACGAAGCACAGGTAAGCAATGGACAGCAGAGCTGAGAGGACATACAGCAGTACACTGTTGAGGGCCGTCACATAGACCACCACAAAGTACATGTTTATTGCGCAGACTAGTAGGATAGTTACTCCCCCACCAATCTTCCACACCCTAAAAAAACAAAACACAGAAACATGGGTAAATAAAAATAACATATACAAACAAATAAAGCATTTGTAACAGAGTGATTTGTGACATTCCGCAATGCAGAATGAATTGCGAGTCTGCTTGTTTCATTAAGACACTTCAATGATAAGACGCCATTTGAGACAGAACACTACCTAGCGACCAACTGTTAAAAAGAATCACCTTAGGTCAAGCAGCCTGGGTTAATGCTGTAGCAAATAAACAAAACAATGTGGAGGTCTGCATAGAGGTCTGCATAGAGAGCCTAACAGAAGGAGACAAAGGCCAAGGAGGTGAAGGTCGAATAACATTTTTTAGTGAATAAGTGAAGAAAAGCCAACTACTTTCCTTTATTTTACTTTTTAAATGACTTTGTATTTTCTAATTTGTAAAGCTCTGTACAGCAGTGTATAAAAAGTGCCATATAAATAAATTTGCCTTGCCTTTTGATTATTTTTTCATTATTTTCTAGATTTGATAAGAAAAAGGGAATAAACACAGGGACCACATACGTGAATCTTATATTATTTTCACATGCAGTTACACACTGCTGGTTAAAACAAGAAAGTGTCCGGTAAAAAAAAAATACTGAGTGGCTGGTAGATTTTGTTATCCGGCAGACACAAAGGCAGCTAATTTCCAACACTGCTGAGCACATTTCAGCACAGAGCACCAATCATGAATTTCACAGCTGATTTCTTTACAGCAGAATTTCCAGATGGCCGATGTTTTTTGGCTAGCTCTTTTTAACCCAAAGTTAAACACTAAGTGGACGCATGAACGACATTTCCAGAACGTTATTAGCCAAAGTCTCAACATAAATAAGATTATTTACTCTTTAAAGCCACATTATTTAAGATTCACATCCAGCTGTAAAGGCTAAATTAACTGCAGTTTAGTTTTGAGTCATACTCACAGTCCATTAGCGAAGTCGTTCATTATCGACGTGAGGCTGGTGAACGTCAGAATCGGGATTAGAGCAAACGGAAGCTGTTCATGAGAAAGAAAAAACATAATAGATTAAAAAAAAATAACATTCAGCAGAAAGAAAATGAAACATAAGCTGCACAATCACACAAACCTTACTTTAGGCTCACTATTTACATTTAACATTTATATACAAACAATAATGACTATTACAGCTGCATCTGTCATCATCATGTAAATTTTCTACTGTAGACCAGACTGTCAGGTCACATGGAGATGATCAGCAGAAACACAGATAGACGTCAGCTATGAGAACTGTTTCCTTACAAAGCTCCAGTATAGACAGTTTACACACAGTTTAGCTCTCTAAATGAAGCTCTAAATAAAACGATTCATAAACAACCTATAAACACTGTCTGTGAGGTTTTACATAACCCAACTCCTGAATTAACAACAAATGTGTCAATATATATATTAAAATAGCATATTTCATTTTAGCTACAAAATCTCAATGTTCTAATAACAAAATGCAGTGCAGCAAAAAAAAATCCCAATACACATGATGTCTTAATTAAAATCTACAATTAAAATTGACTTAACTGAACTACTAATAAAGTTTAAAGAGCAATAATTTGTGTTTAACATTTTTTACTTGTTTACTTAATTCATACTTAAGTTCAAAGAACTTAGTTCATAGAAAAGATTACACTGAGAAATAACGTTATTAAAAGGAGAAGAGCAGACTAAACAGCTGATTTTTTGTGCTAATCCTAAAGTGTTAAATGCTGATCCACCTGCATGCTTTGCAGCACATTGAGGAAATCGTTCATGCCAGTCAGATGCTGCACATCCTGGAAGATCGCTACCAGCAGAGTGGGAAAGATGGCAATGGAGCGAGTCAATAACACCCGCGCAAAGCGAGACCAACGCAGGTTAAGGAAGCCCTGAAAAGAGAGAGGGAGGGAGGGAGGGAGAGAGAGAGAGAGTGAGAGAGTGAGAGAGTTAAGAGTTGAGACTTTCAACTTAACTGCATGTAGGAGAAACAGCATCAAATTACACCACCTTATCAAATATAAGATTTACTGAAACTGAGTGCATTTATCATTATCAGACTTCTGCAGTTCTCTGATTATTATGTGGTCGTGTAAACAGCACACTGATTTCTTAGATCAGCTTAAGGTCCTTAAATCTGATTAAGAAATGTGATTAAGAGGCTGGATTTGAGCTCAGTAATGAGGTTTTTCAGTGCATGTAAACCCTTGCTTTGATTTCTTTTATTTCTCTCAGTCTGCGCATGTGTAAAAAACAGAGCGCTGTCCCAGAAACAGCAAGCAGCGTTTAAAACAGCACCCACGAGACACAGCACAACACTTTTGGAGTGACGCTGAAACCGACTACATGCTCGATGACACGAAGGATCTAAATACTCTCCATCTCCTAGATGATGTACGTTCATTAAAAAAAAAAAAGTTTGAGTTTTATGTTACGTTTACGTCACGTCTTATTCTGAGAGTTTATTGGCTGGTTGTAAAGCAGACATCTGAAAACTGCCTGACTCATGCAGACCCGGAGTTTCCCCATTATCTGATTACCCAAGAGCATGTAAACACACTCAACCAGTTACTGACACAATCTGATTTACAGTTATTAGATTATTAAGTGCATGTAAACGCACTCAGTCACATGTCCCATAATCAATGATGAACTGTTTCATTCACTCATACAGCTGGAGTCAGTGCAGATACTGAAATACTGATATATTACAGTTTTCATATTATCTGTTGTTACTACAGTGACAGTTTGCCTTTCCACCCAGCTCCATTATTATTATTCATAAATCAGAGCACTCTATATATACTCATACCTCCATGACAAATTGTCCAGAATATGTCCCGGTCATGGTAGAGCTCTGTCCAGCAGCAAGAATCCCAACTGCCCAAATATAAAGAGCTGCTGGACCAAAGAAACAGCCCAGCACTACACCCTGAAACATGAGAAAACAAATATGTAACTGCATCAGTCAAAGCTCTACAGTTAAATAGAGGAAAAAGAGTTTCATTAAAATGCCTCTGAGTAAGCCCTTAAAAGCAGTAACTGAGATACATTTAACCAATTTTAGTGTTTTTTGTACCATATTCTGATCATTACCAGCAGCAGAACGGAATAAGTGAAAGTAAGAGCTGGTATTATACCTGGCTACAAAGGCCGGCCGCAGAATATGGTGGTGAACAGCAAAAAAGTTGTTTTGTAAATAAGCGTAAACCAATAAATGGTAAAAGTTCAGTGAAGAGAGATAAAGATGCAGACTGCCAGTATAAGGCCACATTCACACGGCAGTTAAAAGTGTCCTGAATCTGCCTGAGCATGACAAACTATAACACAAGCGCTATCTGCTGACCGTCATATTGACCGTCAGTGGTCTCAGATTAGCTCCAGATACTTTAAATACACTTCTATACATTTTATATACACTTGTCAAAATAATACCTTGTATCTCCAAAATGATCAAAATGATGACTTTACAGGAGAAGGAAAAAAAAACTACTTTACTTTCAATGTAAGTCAATGGAACCAGATTTCTTTCCACATCATTTTGGGCCATTTCTTTTAGTCCATTCATCATGAAATTTACACATGATGTAAAAGAAGTTTTATCATCTTTGTTTGCCTACTTTTACTCTATTTTGTCTACTTTTTTTACTCAAGTTGAACTCAAACCTTTTTTCAAAGCTTTCATATGTTTCAGTTTTACCAGTTGTTATGTTTTTTGGCGTACCCCTTTGTAGATGTCAACTTGAAGAGTTTCATTGTTGAGCGGGAAGAGATCCGTGTGAGGACTTCCAGTTTCATTACACTGCTGATTCTACAAAACAGGAAAGAACATAACTTTAGCTCTTTAGTAACTCACAACAGCAAAAGCACACAAACTGAAGACCATCTCTTTGTGAAGCACTTAAGCAAACACTAATTAAGTATTTATTGAACTGTACTGCATTGCACTTATGCTGTGTACTCTAGCTGGGACTCTAGGTAGCTACTCTCTCAGAAATAAAGGTAGTAAACTGTCTCTGGGGCAGTACCCCTCTGTCACTGGGGTGGTACCCTCAAGGGTACATCTCAGTACCTTTAGCCAGGGAACATAATTGTACCACAATCCACTGAAATTATATTTTCTAAATTGTATTGACTCCACACACCCCGTCTCATCTCCAGGTTTTTAATTTATTGTTCTGTTTTAAAACATTCGGTTATGAAAAGGTACAAATACATACTTTTCACCTGAAAAAAAATATTTAAGGTTCACAATTGGACCTTAAAACCACTGTTATGCCTTTGAGGGAACATTTACATTGTTTGTACCTTGATGAATGAAAAATGTACCTGCACAGTGTGGGGTAAATTCTCTGTAGCTACACTTTCAAAAATGATGGTGCTTTAAGGGTTCTTTGGTAAAGAAAATGGTTTTATATAGAACTGTAAACACTCAAAGAATCATTTGCATTATTAAAGAGGTCTCTGCATTATGAAATGGTTCTTCAGACTGATGGAGAATGTGTTGTAGATGGTTCTATATAGAACCTTTTTGAAATGGCTCTATATAGCATACTGTTACGGTGTCACGCTTGTAACAATAGAGAACCTTTCTGGGTGCTATACAGAACCCTTTTCAAAAAGGTTCTATATAGAACTACAGCACATTCATGCACATTTTCCATCAATCTGAAGAACGCTTTCATGATGCAGAGACCCCATTAATCATGCAAATAGTTCTTTGAGTGTTCACAGTTCTACATAGAACCATGTTCTTTACTAAAGAACCCTTGAAGGACCATCTTTTATAAGAGTGTAGGATACATTCTCTGAGTGGACAACAAAGCACTTCTGTAAGTCGCTTTGGATAAGAGTGTCTGCTAAAGGCTGTAAATGTAAATGTGCATAATAAGATTCTAAAGGAACCTAATAAATCACAGAGTTATCAAAGATTGTAAATCTCACCACTTCCATATTTGTCTTGTCATAAAAAGCTTCAGCAAAGACGGCCACCACAAAGACATTGATGAGGAAGGAGACGAAGAGGGCGATGCTGGACTCGATGAAGTAGTACTTGTTGGCCTCTTTCACCTCCTTCTTGTTGGCTCGATCAACCTGCCGTGACTGTACAGGAAATAAATACAGCAACGGGCCTTTGATTAATAAGTTGACTATGACTAACTGAAATGCTCATTTCAACAGCAATTAAAGGAAAAAAGGAAAACACAAAATAGGTGCTGGGGTGGGCAATATGAACTTAGAGGTGGGTGATATGACAAAAATATAATATTGTGATACTTCAAGAAAATTTTCACAATGTACGTGTCACGATATATATTCTTTCAGACATATGTTCAGTTGGAACAGAGAAAAAAAGAACAAGCAGTGCTACATTAAAAAAAAATACTAAAAACTGTGAATACAAATGATTTTTATTCAATATTTGGCACTAAATCCAGTTAAATGGGACTAATTCTGCTCTATTTATAATGAAACTTGCAGTTGGTCAGTGTCTATAAGCACTGGCGATATATGCCATTCAGAAAAGCAGATTGTATTGTATTGAGACATAATTTATCATGATAACAATACATATTGTCATGCCCTAAATGAACTCAAGCTTATATTACAATATTTTCCACTATTCCTACAAAAACCATTTCACGATCAGTGTGTGAAACACCCCCTGATATTCGGGGGTCCCATGTTGGCTGCTAACTCACTCACCATAGCAGTGCTGATGCTTCAATGGCAATAAAATGTTTGGTTTATCAGTTGTTCTTCTCTAAATGCTCAGTTCTAGTTTGGTGATGCGCTCTTCCTCACATTAACTGAGATCTTACTCATCTCCTCAACAGTATGAAAAGTCTTGTGAGTCACACCTGCTCTGGAGGAAATGGAAACTTCCTAGATATACTGACTATGTGACTGTAATACTCCCATGGTTTACTTATGGTAAATAATTAAAAGTATTAAGATTTATCGATAAATTTGCCTTGATTATTGATTTTTCAAATCTGCTCTCTGTATTGACAGCCCACTGGTCCTCAGGGGCCTTACCTTAACCAGAGCCGAGTGCAGGTAGATGTTGTGAGGCATGATGACCGCTCCAACTATCCCAACAGCCTGTTCTAACTGCACAGGACCGCAGCCTTCACAGTACGGAACAAACATGCCCTTCAGAACCTCACCCTGATCCGGAGCCACTCGTACATACTGAGAGAGGAAAAATGAATCAGAATTAGAGAAGGAAACATTAAACTGGTTCAAGACAAAAAGCTGACAGTGGTGCCGTATAGAGTGTTTTTAACTTAATCAGGTTTATAGAATACTGAACAGTTGAAGGAAGTGGATTATTTATTCTGTGTTTATGAGGTTATTTTGAGTTTAAAAGGATTTTCATTGTTCAGTTGTTTACCCAGCAGCTATGGTATTCCAGGGGGTTGCAGGGGTGTTGCCATTTGGTTTCTATGGTATTTTGGGTGTTTGACAGGCTGCTATAGGTTACTAGGTGTTGTTAGATGATTGCTATTGAATCTGGTGGTGCTAGCAGTTTGCTAAGGGATGGCAGTGATGTTGCAAGTAGTTCCTAGGGTATACTTAGATGGTTGCTATGGTGTTCCAGGTGGTTGATACAGTACTCTATGATTGAAGTGGACAAGCGGTTAATGCCTGCCTCTAAAAAGACTGACGTACAAATGAGACATGTCTGTTCAAATCAGACATTACAACATAAAAAAGCCACAAAAAACACATTGGTATATGGACATGTAAAAGCATACCGCCAATACACCTCTCGCTCCCTTATGCTTTTGTGGAAACCACTGTCAGTGATCAGCTGGTCAGAAAAAAAGCAGGCGGAGCTTGTGGTATGGGCACAGCCACACTGAAATGACTGGGGTTTACTTTGTTTAGAGGGACTTTTAGAACAGAATCAGAGCTCTGTAGAACCAAGGACATTTTTAACATAGGAAATATTTGAAAAATGGAAAATGAAATTGAACCTTGACCTCAGAATCAAAAATCAAATTAAACTGGAAAATGTGTGTATCTTTACACAATTTTAAAAACTTGTGCTGAGATTAGTCAATAGATCAGGATATTTCTGTAGCTAATATAAATCGAGCTTTATGATGTTAAATCATTGCAGTGTTTCAGGCCACACAGCAGCTTAATTCTGGTCTAGTTCAACCTCAGTATGAACAGAATGCCATCACAAAAACCTACAGAAACATTCTGGGCAATTTCTGAGAAGTTAGTGAATGTTCCCTTCACACTAATTTACTGTTACTCTAAGCACATAGAAAGTGCATACTGTACCTCATATCCAAAGCTGAGGGCCATGATGGTGATCAGGAACCCAAAGAAGGCTTCCAGCTTCCGCAAACCTAACGTTTTGTAAAAAGCAGTGTGTTACGACATGCATAAACAAACTGACTTACATTTCACTGTCATATTTCTACTGTTTAACTTACCGTACTTGTCCAAAAAGAGGAATACGAATGTGTCAATGATGGTAATGAGGACTCCAGCCCACAGTGGAATCCTGAAGGTGTGTCAAAAAATAAAAAAATCAATTTATGCACAAACACTATATATATGCGAGCTGTAAAAGATAAATATATTATTTCCGCTCCAACGTGTAAGATTATGCGTATGTAATGATGCTTATCTAATATTACCGGCCAACAGATAGCAGATTGAAGGCAATGGCACAGCCGATGACCTCCTGCATGTCCGAGCCAATGATGGCCAGTTCCACCATCAGCCACAGGATGATACGAGGCACCTGAAAGAGAACATCAGAGGTAATATTAAATTATTCAGTGTATGAATGATATTGTATTAGTCTATTATGAAGACACAATGTACTGGAGCAAAAGTGAGTAACAGATTTCTGCATCTAACATAAAATGTTTACATTAGACTATTTGAATCACAATAAATATATGTCATATTTATGAGAGAATCACTGCATTGATATATTATCTGATTTTGCAGATGTAAAGAATGGTAAACGGAGAATCAAAATCAAATCACACGTTTTGTTGATATTCTAAGTGAAAATAAACTAAAACATTTTCCAAAGCAGTGGTTCCCAGTCCAGTCCATAGCACAGCCCTGACACTCCACATTTTTCCTTCATCCCTGTGTGTGCTGCACGCTGGGTTGAAGTAAAAAATGTGGACCATCTGAGTGTCACTGAGGATTGGGCTGGGAAACACTGCAATACAGAGAACATATTTTAGCACAATTACTGTTTGTTGGCTAAAGTTAACATATTGGTGGAAAAAAATAAAACATAAAATGTGGCTGATGAAAAAGCTATGGCACATTCTATTCTTTAAATTTGGAGGAAAAAAAAATCTATTTAAGTCTCTTCTCTATACAGGATGGGTTAACTTATTTTTACTTAGTTATTAGGGCAAAGTGCATTGTTTGTGGTGGCCCGAGGGCATAAAAAGATAAAATATACAAGTTCATTAAAACCACCTACAATTACAGACTGTAGTCCATCCATTTCTCTGCATACATTGTTACACTGTTCTTCAATAGTCAAGACCCCCACAGAGCTGTTATTATCTGGGTGGTGGGTCATTCTCAGCATTGGTGTTGATGCTGACATGGTGATGGCATGTTAGTGTGTGTTGCGCTGGTCCGCTCACTGTCCACTCTATTAGACACTCCTACCTTGTTGGTCCCCCTTTGTAGATGTAAAGTCAGAGATGATGCTCATCTGCTGCTACACATTTTGTGTCTGGTAATCCTCTAGTCCTTCATCAGTGGTCACAGGACGCTGCCCACAGGACGCTGATGGCTACATGTTTTTGGTTTTCAGTTAAGCAGCGACACTGAGGTGTTTAAAAACTCCAGCAGCACTGCTGTGTCTGATCCATGCACCAGCGCAACACACACTAACACACCACCACCACGTCAGTGCCAAAATCTGAATACCAAATCTGACTGAAATGCCAATTCTAAGCACCACCAAGGGGAAAAAAAACAAAAAAAAACATCAATCCTAATTTCAGATTGACAAGGTTCACTTACAGTTGGGTACTGTCTGTTGCAGACCTCTGCCAAGTGCATCCCAGTGACAACACCCAGTCGTGCAGCCAGTCGCTGCAGCAAAAGTCCAATAATGGTGGCCCCCAGAAGTACCCATAAGAGCTAATGTAGAAAAAAAAACACTAGATATATAAAATGTTTTATACGATGGTAGTCACTGAAATGTGATAACTGTGAAGAACTTACTTTAAATCCAGCTTTTGCTCCTGACTGAAGATCAGATTCTATGTTCCCCGGGTCCAAATAAGCAATGCTCATGAGAAAGCCAGGCCCTGTGAATGCCCACAGCTTACGAAAGCTGAACACCTGCAGAAAAACGAGAGGACGAGATGATTTTCCTTTCTTGTTATGTCCTTAATAACCTGTCAGGTCATTAAAATGCCACATGGAAGTGCCTTTAAGCAGCGATTTTGCATGTATTTAAATAGACAGCATGATCTGAGCCTCTCTCAATACACAGCTCAGTCAGAGCTTATTGCTTCAGCAGTACATGGAAGAGGAAGCAAAACTAAGTCGATGCTGTATAATATTGCAGTATTTTGGGATTCAAAATACTATCAAAACACAGGGACCCACATATCAATATTTTCTTATTTCATTATGAATATTTCTGCTAAAACATTCTTCAGATTTCCTAAACGCAGTTCTGTCTTAATCCTCCATATGGTGCTGTTTCCATCTGGTGAGATTAGGGCTTCTGTCAGTGGAAATATTACAGTTGGATGGTGTAGTGGATAACATAACACTAACATACAACATCGCCACACAAATATATGAAATTCCAAGCTTTTTAATATTTTCTTAAAGGGAAAGGAATACAATTTCCACCTCTCACACTGTCTCATATACTCTGTGCATTAATGTGTATTTCATTCAGAACAAGTGACTGAAAAAGAAAGGATATACGCTTTGAGACTGCAGGATCCTTTAATTTAATACTTTTCATAGTAAAAAATAAGTCATTTTCATCATCATGTTACCTTAAATTTTTAAAATCTACTTTAAGACTTCATAACAAGCTTTTTAAGGAACTGCAGAAATCCTGGAAAAAAGGCTCTAACCCCACTGTTCAGACAGGAATCAGAAACACAACGATAGCATATCTGCTTTACAACAGAAGCATCTGCTAAATTTGTACATTTAAGGAGAATCTTTTTTAATGTTTGTCTACCTCACAATTCTGCTTCAACAAACATCAATAAAGTATAAACTAGGGCCTTACAGAAGCAAAATAACTAATTGCAATCTTTCTGACTAAAACTGTGACTAATTTAAATTGCGATTATTATCTATAAGGTTCAGGCCTTTTTTTGGCCAAGAATTTCAAAATATCCACTTTTTCTGGCTTGATGCTTGACCCCTGAATGCAAAGTGCCAAACTGCCAGTGAGTTGTGGTTGTGATGTCACGACAGATGGAAGTTTGGCTGTCTCTGATTGGTCTGACTCTACAGGCATTTCACAAGCTCTGTGTTATTAGGTTGAGGTAGAAAACTGCACTCTCTTAAATCGTGATTTCAATATAAAGAATATATAAAGCCCTAGAACAAACTTAAATCGTTTTGGAAGAATTCAGTGTCAAAGGTAATAAATCACTTTATAATGCAACACTTAGCTTATAATGAATCTTTATATGCTTACATGATTAACAAACTATTTTATCCAGAGAAGTTTACAATGACTAAATGGCATATTTTTGTGTTGTTTCAACCTCATTCTCTTCTGTATACAATCATATCATGATAATCTCATCCAAACACAGAACTTACCTGTGTGACATCTTCAGGGACCGGGATCTTCTCCTCAAAGTAGGTGGAAATGGGTTCCTCTTCAGGAGCTGAGGGGGTAATGGAGCTGTAGTGGGCGGGGCTGGTCTGGGTGACTCCATTCTGCTGAGGGGGACTCTCTGAAGGGGCACAGAGGAGATTATTAGAAGAAATAAGCATCATTGTTTCAGAACTTTCTATCAGTCACTTATACTGAGAGGCAGTGCTGGCCAATACATCGTCTGTACAGAAATATTGTGATATCGATATACTGTGATGTTGCTTTTCTGTTTTAGCAATATATTATACCCATAATATAATGGCCATAAAATAGTAGTGTTCCTGTCAAGAAGCTGTTTGTTTTTGGTTGTATAATTCTACTTTGGACATATTACTTATTATATCTTTATTATCCATTTTAAGATTTATGCTAACTTAAAGGGTAATTCCAACAAAGTTTTAAAGTTCCTGCATAATTAAATGTGTAAGAAACTTTCACAACTGTTCACAGTAGTGGTGATAGGAACCAGACGTCCACCTCTAAAAGCTCCCTAACAGAAAGTTATTTAAATGGTTATGAATACACTGCCTGATGTCTGAGACATTGTTTTACAATAGTTCTGAGAACTTAAAATCCATTCATGGTGGAGGGATACATGATATGTAGGGTGTTGTGAGGCACAATAGTCCCCAAAGAAAAGTTATTTTTTCAAATTTTCCACTATTTTTCCCATCATCAACATTCCATATAAACTCAGAAGACACTTTAGCATAGTAAATAAAATGTCTATACTTGTGTTGTAGTCATTGTGTCCCCAGGTTCCTATCACCACCACTGTAAAGGCATATGAACCATTTCACACCAAACCACTGAGTCACTCTGTTTACATTCCACACACTAAGACGAAGTTCATTACTGCTAACTTATTAACTTCATACTTTTTCTAGTTTTCCGTTCCACCGTAAACAGTGCAGCAGTTAAATTCTGGCGCCTGCACCGTTTAAGGTGGAATGGAAAACTTGAATAAGGAACTAAAGAATAAGAAGCCAACTTTAGCTTTGTATAAAGAGCTGTGTTTGACTCTCCTTTTTTCTTTTCAACTTTTTGCTACCCTGTCACTTTCTCTCATTGTCCATCAGCGACGGCGCACTATCTAACCTCAGCCAGAGCGATTCTCTTATTGTGATACTCGACTGTAATCAGGTTCTTCTACTCAGCAGTAATGTTGACACACTTCCCACTTCCAGTTTTGACTGTCCAGGTTTGTGAAATCTATTTCTACAAAATGACTCACACGACGGTACAAACTGTGACAAACACACGGCTTCAAATTGTCTGATGAAAATCTGGGCTTACCGGCTATTTGAAATTTTTCCATTTGAAGACGATCGCTGCTCTGAAAGGCTGATGTGACGCGTACGACTGTTCAGACAAACCGGACAGACATCCAGAACAAAGTCTATAAAGTTCCTGCTTAAAGCTCTAAAATAATCGCCAGTAAACAGGACTATATCCGGATCACTAAAAGGAATAAAACACTATCCAGACTGCTTTATGATTTCCGAGTATCTATTGTGTGTGACACTTTAAAGTGATGCAACTCCATCCTGGACGTCCTGCAACGTTTCAAAAAGCCTCCAAAGATTCAGTGAATGAGGTTATTGAGTTCAGAATACACTCCTTGTGTTCAGAAACACTGCCATAAAGTCTAGAACGTGACACACAGCTATTTCCCCTGTTTATAGACCTTCACACAGCAAAAAGGCTCTTTTATTGAGGGTCATTTCCCAGAACTGCGATATCACAGTAGATCACAGTTTTTAAGGTTTGAACCCATGTAAAATATTGTAATATTGTAAAATATTGTTGTTTTGTTTCGCATTGTTTCATACAAGGCATTTATTTGAGTTGAATAAAACCAGTTAATTATTTTTTTTTCCACCACATGAAGTTTGTTTGGGCTGAACTGACAAAAATTAAATACAAAGCAGTTTTCATGTAGCTTTCACCAGCAACTTTTACATTCATTTCACTAAAAAATGCTCACAGTGGAACATGTAGCAGCACTGAACAGAGCTCCCATTATATCCACCAGAGAGAGGTCTTGATCAATAAGGGGGAAATGGAGCTAAAAAATGAAAAAATAAACTTGTTTCTAGACATTTATGAAGAAACTACCTTTAATTTTGGAAAGGAAAAAAATGTGTTACATAAACTGGAGCACTGATCGGTTTGCATTACTGCTACCAAGCACCAATTAGTTAGCATTACTGCTACTGAGTGCCCATTTATTAGCATTACTGCTTCTGAGCGCCCATTAATTAGCATTACTGCTACTGAGCACCCATTAATTAGCATTACTGCTACTGAGCACCAATTAGTTAGCATTACTGCTACTAACTGCTTATTAGTTAGCATAACCGCTAAAGAGCGCTGATTAGTTAGCACTACTGCTACAGATCGCTGTTTGGTTAGCATTACTGCTACCTAACGCTGATTGGTGGGCATTACTGCTACTGAGTGCTGATTGGTTAGCATTACTGCTACTGAGTGCTGATTGGTGGGCATTACTGCTACTGAGTGCTGATTAGTTAGCATTACTGCTACTGAGTGCTGATTAGTTAGCATGACCGCTAAAGAGTGCTGATTAGTTAGCATTACTGCTACTGAGTGCTGACTGGATGATATAAGATTACTGCACTTCTGTCCTTGGGACGTCCATCGTGAAGATGGATGTGTAAATGTGTAAAATTGTTTGTTAGAGATCGAAAACTGGAATACTTTGATTGTAAATGTCTAAAATGAATAAATCTACTATGGCTAATTATGGTTAATTAAGAAATGTATATATTACTGGTTTAAAGGGTGGACTTAAAGGGGAATTCCACCAATTTTTCAAAATTTCTGCACTCACAGGAGTTCAATGTGAACTGCTCCCCTGTAGAGAAATGTGTGACTGTGGCTTAAGGCTTAACAACATGGAAGGCCACATGAACTACTCATTCATCAGGCTGGCTGGCAGCTCCAGGCCTTTTAAGGGTTTAAAGTAAGGAGGATAAGAATGCAGTACATTTCTGGGGGGTCCTTTCGCCTGTATAACATGATCGAAATGAAAGGTCAGTCTAAATCATGAGAAAGCATGAGATATTTTCTATTTGCACAACTCACTTTGACTGGAGGGCTCATTCAGACATGCTCTGTTGTGCAGTCATGTGTTTTCCCTCTGCTATCTCCCACACCAAACATTAAGATGCTCCCGAAGACCTCAATTATCTGGATTTGATTTGGTAAATTATTATTTATATATCTTCAACTGGACTTTTCATCCTTGTTGTGTTTCAACAGCCTCCTGTTTCAACACATGAGCAAAGTTTTCATGCACAAGCCACCACAGTCACACCTGACTCACCAGAAATAAAAAAGTAATAATAAAATCAGGGTCACAGTCACCTGATGTCTATTTTTAAACTGCACACACACATTTCTGCTTAAGGAGGAAAGTACAGCAGTGATACAGCTGTGAGTCAGTCGTGTTATTTATCTATTAAATTCAGATAGCACGAAGACTCTCAGATTTCTCTTGGCCTTACACCAAACGACTTTTCAAGCGGAATAAAATCATGAAAGTTTTGTTAGTGTTGTGGTGGGTGCGCTCCTGTAATCTCGATCATTAGAAGGGAATGACAGCTACCTTAAGTCAGTCTTTTCTCATCTTTATGTTCCAATAAAATCAACAGTGTTTAATATTATCACTGTTGATATTGAGTTTCAGTCTTGGCTCATGCAAATAGTGGCATGGAGACTGTCAACAACCAACAGGTGAGCTCAGGGGCATCTCCTGGCCCAGGCCACAGCCCCGAATATTTTTAAACCAGCCCAGAAACTTCTGAATCTCATCATCCATGATTTCATTCAGGGTCGCATTCACCCACTCTAAAGACAGAGAGAGAGACTGCAAAGGAGGGGTCTGCTGGACTGTGCAAAAGGAGGGAAACTGGTGGAGTTGTTCAGGTTAGAAAGTTAGATCAGCTAATTTAGCTTGTAGCTAGTGAGTTAGATCAGAGCTAACAGATTGGCTAGTAAGTAAGCTCAGGGCTAAATTTGTCTGTGTCTAGCGAGTTAGATCAGGGCAAAAATATTAGCTTGTGGCTAGTTCATGGCTAACATAGCTTGTGGTTAGCGACTTAGTTCTGGGCAAACCTATTAGCTTGTGGCTAGCATGTTAGTTCATGGCTAAAAGCTTGTGGCTAGTGGATTAGATCAGGGCTATATAGGCTTAGAACTAGAGAGTTATATCAGGAAAAAACATATTAGCTTGTGGCTAGTGCGTTAGATTAAGGCTAAAATATTAGCCCGAGGCTAGTGCATTAGATCTGGGCTAACATAGTAGCTTGTTGCTAGCGCTTTAGCTCAAGGCAAGTGCACCCATTTTAGTGTTTGTGTGCTGCTAATAAAGCAGTCTGAATAGATCAGGCTAAACTCCACCGCGCCGTTCTAAAGTCTATAATACTGCACTAATGTAGAACAGTAAAACAGTAATAAACTGTAAGTGGAAAAATGAACATAAGTGGTGTTATAACTAAAACTCAGTACTGTTAATAACGCAGGAATAAACTGACATCAGAAGTAATTAAACACAATATGCCATATTGCAACACACTGCAAAAATATTTAAACACGGTAACAGAATCATTTCATGGCTCAAATTTCAAAGAAATATAGTACAGAAAGGCCAGCAGTTTCCCATCGCTAGAAACTGTTAAGATGGAGATTCTGGTTATCCCACTGCAGGCTATTATTAGGAGTTTTAAGAAAAGCTGGTTCTCAGTGTTCTGAGCGATTTTTACGCTGGCGCTCTTCCTGTAAAAACAGTGTGGGAGAGTCCACTGTGTGCATTTCCCCACATCACTAATCTGATCTAATCCGTACCTTCCAGGAGGTCCGACTCTTGATTTGTCTTCATGGGCTCAGACGGAGGGAGCGTCTCTAAAAGAGGAGGCTGTGAAAGAGAAGAACAGCAAACAAAGTTAATCAGCCATCAAGATTTCCTAGCAATTATGCTGTTTTGTTATTATCTTTAAGACTGATATATGGAAATGAGCTCTGTTCTGATTGGCTGTGCCTCCTTCAAAAAAAGCAGTCCAGGCTGGAACACCTCTTATAACATCAGTCTGAATGGGTGGGGCTAAACAGCTGTAGGCTGCGTAAGCTGATGTATGTATATGGCATCACAAAAGCAATTCAAAATGGTCTGTTTGTCCAGTTTATTGTTCATATATGGACTGTATGTACGGTACATTTTGGAAATTTTAACAACGTTTACACATTACAACAAATTCTCATAACAAAAAAAAGAACAGAAAATAAGGTTTTCCATGATACGGAAGGAGAGAGGGCATAATCATTAAAAGGCTTGTCTGGCTTAAAATGATGCACATGTCCAATACTATTAAAATATTATATATAATTCAAAAGGAGATTTGTTTATCATAAAAACATGACAAAATCCCTCTACTAGTGGGTCACCACTGTTGCACTGTGATGTCATAAGGTTGCACTGGACCCAATCCTGAAGAACACAAGACAGTCAATAAAGGCTGAGTGATATATTTCAGTTAAAATAGATATTTAGCTCGCTGTTCTTTGCTCGATGGATGAGACTGAGCAACAATATGACGCCCCCCAAAAAATGACAACCCACTAGTAATACTTATAAATTTAGTCAACTTTTAATAATGAATAAAGTATTTTGCTTAATTTCTGCTACAGATTTAATGTTCAATACATGTCTTAACAGTCAGGGTCACTATAACTAGAAAAAACATTCAACTACAACTAATTTTTTGTTTGGGAGAATGTTTTGGGTACAAAAGAATATTAAAATGAGAAAAGCCACAAGAATTCAGCTCATTTCATTTCATGGCAGGCGAACAGTTAAAACTCCTCTCTATCAGCGAAAAACAGCATATTCAGTCACTGATAACATTAACGACACAGACACGCCCACAGCTTCATGTGTTCAAAAAAACTGACTTTTTTTCTAAGGTTTGAGCAGTTGGAGCAGAAAAATTGTGCCATATTTTAAAAATAGTATCAAAAACTATTAATATATTGATTTTAATTTAACGTGGCGCTGTAGGCTTGGATGAAAATGTAAATGAAGACATTATCATCTGAAGAATAATAATGATAAGCAATATAGTCATGATCCAAATTCAGTTATGAAGCAGTACATGTGAGGATTAATCAGAGCTTTACTCTACAGCTGAAATTTTCCCCGATAGAAATACAATATAATGTATGTTTGTATATCATCTACCCTCTCTATTCAGTAAAAACGATAATAGATACTAAATGTAAGACTGATTGAACCTGGAAATAAGCTTTCAATTAGCTGTAAACACAAACAACTTCCTTTTCCAGAACAGGCTCCAGGAATCAAACTGCATAACACAGTTATCAATCATTAATCAATAATATTCAGCTCCTAATTCTCATTTTTTTTTTGTTTAATTTCAATCTGTTGTGTTGGTTCAGCTCCTGTTCTCTCACTTTGGAGCTTTAGCCTTTTATTTTAGTCCAAAAAGTGATGAAACGTCAGTTCCTGTACAAATTCTTGTTTGAATTATCTGTTCCACCTT